AATTATTATGTTTCTTATAATATCCAACACATTTATAACCAAACGATCATAATCCTTCATATGTAGAAAACTTTTAATTTTTCAAAATTCTTTCATAAACGCTATCATGTTTTATTCTCACAATGACTTTTCCAAATATGTAGCGTAGATTTTATTATATACACTGGAAAGTTGAGGAGGCTAAGGAAAAAAAAAAAGGCTAAATTACCTGCCTAGGATGATCAGGAAATGGAAAAACTGGAACTAGAATCCAGGTGTAATGATTTATAACCCTAGACATTTTTTCCCTCTTCATTATGCTTTTGCTAATTATTATCTGTAAACACGAACAGAGATAATCAGTGATGTGCTGGTGGCAAATGTTTAACAACTGTGTCTCTGTGGCGGAGAGGGGGCGAGCCCTGATTTGCAGCTTTGGCCCATTTCTGTGGTGTAAATGCTCCTGATTTTATGCCACCAACTGACATCGCTGAGCACAGAGTTGAGAAGTAATGCACATAGTCAGCCCTTGCGAGCCAATGGGAGCTGGCTGCATTTGAAATAGGATCCATTCGATGCCGCTTCCAACATTTCATCAAATGAAGTCAGTTATTTAAGGATACAATTTTCTAAATGTCATACCTGTCTAATTTTTGTGAGTCCTCAGTTGATTGCCTGGCATGTGACATGTCTGGATAAAAAAAGGCAGGCATTGAAATCACCTCTAAGGATCCAGACTTCAGTTGTCTTTTGAATCTATAAATAGAAGTAAATGGAGGCTTGTAATTAAACATTTGATTTACCAAAATAACATAGATACTTAAAAAGAACTTCCTTATGCATCTCCATATAATACTTTGATTTCAATTATTTTACATGTTGATACATGATATTAACATCATACAACTAATACTTTGTAGCCAAAGTATTTTAGAAATCATAGACAGACATACCAAAAAATTAAAATACACAGATTACACATTCCAAGCGGTACTTATATTTCCGAAAGTCTAGCGTGCTCCCTTTTTGGCCTTTCTGCCTTCTCAAGCCATTCTGTTTGCCAGGCGTTCCCTTCTACTTACACCTTCAGACTTAGCTCAGTTGTTACTTCTCAAGGAAGTCCTTCATATCTGCAGGTAGAGTGAAATACTTCCTACTCTGTATGTTCTCATATTGCCCTCCCCACACCACTGTGATAACGCCAGCCTCCTTTTGGGGACTTGGTTTTTGCCAGTTCTGTCGCCCACTTGAACATAAAGACTTGGAGGGCTGGGTCAGCATCTTGTCTCATAAATAATTTTGTATTTGTTCATCAGTACGGTCTTGCATACCTTGAGCTGCACACAGCAGGAGGCTGTAAGCAGAAGCAGTGAAGGTAACTTGGCACAGCAAGGAACACAAGAATGCTTTAAAGATAAACTAGGGGGCTTCTCACGGAGGCGATGGATTTCATGGAAAATCATAACCATACTGTGAAAAATATAAATTTCATAACCATACTGTGAAAAATATAGATTTTAATAGTAAATAGCCTCAAAATTGGGGAAAATTATAAGCTACACTTCATCACGGCCCAGAAAGAACGGCAGGTACTTTCTGCACAGCTACACATTAAAAAGAATATCATCACTAATAAAATAATTGGACGGGAAAAAATTGGATAGGAAAATGAAAAAAAAAAAAGCCATTTAAAAATTTATCCAACACTACTTACTTTTTCGTAATCATGTCAACAACAGATGTTAAGTAATCTTCATTACTCTAAAAATGAGAAAAATATTTACTGAAACTGAGGACGCCTCATAGTTTTACTAATACATGTTCGCTAGGTGTAAATTTATTTATGTGTGCAATTTATGATTTATTTATGATATCCTCGTCATTCCTCGTGTTTCCACTTTCTGTAAAAGAGTTTAAAATAGCTATGTGTCTAAAAGGTCTGACTTGAATACCGAAAAGATTTCATTGTCCTTTTTGTCACACTATGAAAGACCACTACACGTTATTTACACTTGAAAATTAGAAGGATACGAAAATTATGTACCTCAAAAGTTTTGCCCTAAAAATGGGATGGCCGATTTCAGAGAACTGCTCTTTTTGAAAATATCTTCATTTTACGAGTATTATATGACAATAAGCTTCCTTTGAAATTATTCCACATTTTTCCAGGCAGTATTACTCAGCCTAATTCTCAGATTTTCTTCTATCAAAAAACTGTGTGTACTTACTCTTCACTGAACACTGTGCTAGATCAGATGACAGACTCATTAGTAAATAGCTTTTGGTAGTTTATTCTCTCAGATGATTTTTTAAAAACATAACCAGTAGCATTTACAAGATGTAACCTCAGGGTTCAAAACATTCCCAATATAAAAATCTGAAACTATTTTGAATAATGACAATTCTACTGTCAAGTCTGAGTACTCTGAAAGTCAACTCTGAATGTGTGTCAGGTTGTTTGTTAAAAATATCAGTGATGATGCAGATAACTCTATTACAGTACTTGTTCTTAAGCTAGCCATAAATGGAGTCACTAGCTATGTGTTACGCACTGAAACAGATTATATTTTAAACATAGTAGTAAAGTTATACTTCTTAAGCATTCTGTATTCCCTTTTAAAATTCCGCCCCCCCCCTTATTTTATTATTGATCTAAACATTTTAGGCCGATGTGCATTGTGTCAGCGGCAAAGAAATAAAGATTGGAATATGTAACACGGAAGGAAGTGACAAAACATTCTGGAGATTATGTATACACTTTCAATATTAAGAAAGCAAATTTGGAGAGCAGGATTATTTCATCTTTTATTTATATTTTCCTATGAGTCCTTCTATGACTATTTTGTTTAAAGTTTTTCTTTCTTCAAAGACATGTTTATTATAGAAAATTCGAACAATAGAGAAAATAAGAAGGACAATAAAGGTACCGCTAATGCCCAACATCCAGAGATAACCATTATCTATATTTTGGAGACCATCATTCCGAGATTTGCTCAGTCTCTTTTGTCCTTATATGTTTCATCTGTCTGTATTATCTATTTTCCCTCCTTCCTTCCTTCTTTCTATCACATTTTATACAGATATTATTATGTTAAACATGATGCTTTACAACTTTTTTCACTAAACAATATGAAATGGACATTGTTTTATGTCAGTGAATATGTTATTCATTCTTTCAGTTGTTACAGATCATTGCAGTGCAGACATAAGTATTTAATCAGTCTCTTATTGGTAGATATTTTGGTTGTTTCTAATATTATGTTTTTTTATAGCATGGAAAACCCTTGAAATAATTACTTATTGAACATGTACTATGTGCCACACATCATTCTAAATCCCTTAAATATATTAGCTAACTTAACTGCCCAAACAACCCTATAACAAAGGTGATGGTATCATCACTATTTTACAGATAAGAAAAGTGAAGCATAGAGAAGTAATTTGTCCAGGTTGACAAGCCAGGGAGTGAAGAAGCTGGCACTTAAACCTTGGCAATCTAGATCCGGAGTCTGTGTTCCCAACTACTGTATTATTTTATTTTTTTTAATTCTTGCCTGATTACCTCCTTTGCATAACTTCAGAGAATTGAGATTTCTGAGATAAAGGATATCCACATTTTAAATCTGATATTTTGCCAAGTTCCCCTACAAAAGGCTTTATGGTATTAATATTTATACAGAACTTTATAATTTTACATGGCACTAGAGGCAAGATAGAAACTTTGGGGCCATTGAGAGATGTAGATTTGAATCTGCTCTATTAATTACTGGGCAAGTTACTTTGGTTAAGCTCATTTCTTCATCTGTAAAATCAGGATAGAACTACCTCCTTTACAGGGGTGTAACACAGGTTATAAATAATGCATATAAAAATGGTCCATAATCCTTCAAATATAGGAAGGAGTCCCTCAATTAATGATAGTCATTGTTTCTACTTAATGTAAATTATCTCTTGATTTGTATACCAATCTTTTATTGGGCTGGGCAGGTTTTATTACTATAGCATCAATTTTAATGCTCTGATCATAAATATGATTTCTGTACCACATAGTATGCAGGGCTCCTAGTAACATATTTAACAATACAATCTTATTTGTCCACACGGAACCGTGATATTTAAATAAACTTTTTAGATTGACATATATAATTCCTTCTCCATGGTATTAAACAGGTATTAAAGATATTGTCTGCTACTCGAAAAAGGCATCTGTGAATTACTTTTTTAATTTAAGAAAAACATTTGCAGTGACACAGTGCCGATCATGGAGGAGGGGTAGTTGGAGACCGCGGGGTGGGAGTAAAATGCGCTCCTTATTCTTCATACGTACGTACATCCGCAACAGAGACGATCACCACGGAGTCCTTCTCCTCCGCCAGAGTCATCCTGGAGACAAGAGAGGTCAACACTTGCTTCAGGTGACTGTGACTTCCCCTCCTCACGGTGGAAATACCCAGCGCCAAAGAAACTGTGGACACAGCAGGACGGAGTCACCATTCAAAACCACGGAAGAAAACACAATTCAGCAAATAAGCATTAGTATATGTGCTTATTTCTATGTCTGGGTTAGCTGTATGGTCACAGGAAGAGTGTTTGGAACTATTACAGAAGTAATCCAAATGGCTTTTCATTTTTATCACATATTTTATTTTCCGCTTGAGGAAATTTCAAGCTGCAGTGGACCATCGGGAAAGGCATTAAACAGACGCCAAGAAGTTCTCACGGTGGCGGGATTCGGTGTAGCGAAAATGAAAACTAACCACTAGCCAGTTATTATAGCGTTCATCCAACTGGGTACCAAACGTCACACTCTGGCTGATTCTCTACCCTTCCTAAGGAGACGCTGGAACCCCAAATAGAAAAAGAACACTATGAAATATTTTCATCTGTGAAAAAAAAATGCGTGAACTAACTCCCAAATGATTTGATGGAATGAATCCATGTCCCTAAGTGACTTTTACTGCCAATAATGACTGAAGCGCTGCGAGAACAGACCTATGTCATCGAAATAGATAGTAATCCTGACCATGCCAGCATCTGGCTGTGTGAGGTTGGGCCTCATACACATCCTCTCCAGCCTCAGTTTCCCCACCTTTATGACGGGGAGTAGGGCTTCCAGGATGGCTAAGTGAGGGACTTGGAAAATCCTCCCCCTAAAGAGCAATAGTAAAACTATCAAAAACAAGGCCCTGATATACGACAAACTGAGAAGCATTTATCTTAGAAAACTTGAACTTCTGTGAGAACAGTAAGAATCAGCATTTTCCTGATTACTACTGGGTTGGAACATCTATTTATGTTTATTGACCTCCGGATGTTCTTCTGTGAAATCCTGTTGCCCGTCTCTCTATTGAGCTGTCTGCAGGTTTCTCATGGATTGATTGATGTCCTTTAGAGATTCTGAATACGAGCCCTTTGTCAGTTATGTGCGTGACAAACATCATCTCCCACTCTGGGTTCCCTTTTCAATGTTTTACCTCTTGATGAACAGAAGTTCTGAATATAGCATCATTTATCGGGTAGTTCCTTTACAGTTAGTGCTTTTTGACTGCTGTCAAGAAATCTTTGCTTATCTTCAGGTCATAGGGATAGTCTCCTGAATATCTTGTAGATGGCTTACTGTTTGCATTTCATATTTATATCCATAATCCACCTGAAATTGACTTTTATGGATGGGGTGAGTCAGGAATCCAGTTTCAAGCTACAGGATCCGCTCTAATGCAGTTCCTGGAATGGCTTCCCATGCCTTGGGATGAGGAATGCATTTATAAAAGTTTATGAGGCCCTTAGGGACCTGACCCCAACCTACCTCTTCTGTTTGAACTACCCTCTCTCCAAACCTGTCTTTAAGTACGTAAAGCCTTTCAGCTTCTCAGATTGACCAAACAGTCCTCTCTCATCTGCAGGCTTTTGCGCATGCCATTCCTTTCTTTGCCTAAAACACTCTTCTTCTGATTCCTTGTCCTAATTCTACTCTTTCCTCTGGTTTCTTGTGCTCATTCTACTCTTCCTAAATTACGTTGGGTGCACAGCTATGTAGTCTCATCTCAACTCTCATAGTACTTATCACCCTTTTGTTGTTACCCATTTGCATTCCTAGGTAGAATGTAAGCTTGATGAGGGAGGGCAGACACTGCTTCTTGCTCGCTCACCATTATAAAGTCCAGCACTAATATAATGATCGGCACAAAGCAATGTCAATAAGTTTGGGATGAATAAATAAATGGCCAATCCCTATTGTTATTTGGCCTCTGCCCCATGTCTTACTGCTAACAGCCTCCAGTCCCACAGTGCAAAACAACCCACACTTTTTTCCCAGGCCCTCTTACCATTAGGCCTTTCACGTTTCTTTTCCTCTACCTGGACAATCATCCTCTCCTCTTCCACTACCCACCACCTACCTTTTCCCTATGTCGCCTGTTCCAATTCTTTCCCCGCTTTATGTCTCAGCTTAGACGTCACTTCCTTCAGAAAGTTTCCCTGAATTCTCCGAGTAGAGATTACCTGCCCTACCTTGTGTTTCCCCTGTCACAGCACCGGGCGCTCTATATTGCAATTGCTTTCTCATTTGTCCCATGAGGACGAGGTCCCTGTCCTGTTCACCACCGTATCCCCAGGGCCTAGCATATGGTAGAAGCCTGCGAAGTGAGAGGACACAGGAGACCTCACAAAGAAATTGTTAGTTAAGCTGCGAAGTCTTACTGGATAAGGGACTTATAAGACAAGTTAGTTGTGGGTTAATAGGAAGTGGTATGTTCATTACAGGCAGTGTGACCAGTGTGTGCTGATCACTTTTCCCATTTGTGGGGACTGTAAGTACTTGTGGTTGCTGGGAAGGTGGGAGGGGGCAGAAACGGAGATTTGAAAGGTATGTACTACTGTGCATATATTAAGTCAAGGAGCTACTTCATCCTAAATGCGCCGAGGATCTATTGGAGAATTCTAAGCAAGAATTGAGCATGGTGAGTTATATATTTTGGTAGGTATCTGAAGAAAGTGTGAAGAATGGACTGACTTTAGTCATACTAAAACCATGAGAAAAATTAAAAGTCTATTTCAATAGACCATGCAAGAAAGGAGGGGGTCAATAAAAAATAATCAGAGAGGGGCTGTAGAGAGCAGAAATTGTTTAAGATATTCTCACAATATAGGGTAAACGAGACTGAAGATGGATCCCCCAGTAGGCTTCAGTACTTTTATAAATATTTTATGTGTTAGGATCTTTTTGTTACCAGGAACAAAATCTGCCTTTAAATTACTGCTGGTAACGGAGGTTTATCTGCAAGCTGGTCTTCCCAAGAACCGAAGAAAAATCATCAAAAGGGCCTCAGAAGAAGGATCGATACATCATACAGCATGGCTGAAAATCACGGAAGATTATTCAGGATGTGACACAGCTCTGATAACTGTGTGATTGCAACACCCCTATGACCAAGACCTCTCTCCCTCCTTCCTCCCACTCTCTATCATGGACGGAAATCACGGAAGATTATTCAGGATGCGACACAGCTCTGATACTGTGTGATCGCAACACCCCTATGACCAAGGCCTCTCTCCCTCCTTCCTCCCACTCTCTATCATGGACTTCTGCTTATGTTTGCTCACGTTTATCCAAGGCTGTGTCTCTTGTTGGTCTCTAACATTTCGCACTCGTTATGCAATGGGTTTTTTTCCTGTGTCTTTCAACTCCTCCTCCTTTAGACTCTGGCTTTTGCATAGGACATACTTTCTCATACATCCACGCACGTGTATATGCACGTATGTATTCACATGCCGCAATCTAAAATATTCCCGCGAAGGAAGCTGATGCAGTTCAAGAGTTTTACAAGTATAATCTCCACAACTTCCTTCATCTTTCTAAATCTCAATTTTCTCAGGTGCGGAAAAGAGATCATCATAGGCCCTACTACACTGGGTTGTGTGGCCTGAATGAGACAATAAAAGCAAACACACATCTCAGTATTTGGAACAGTGAGAATTCAGTCGATGTCAAACAATGTCTCTGGCACCCCATCCCAACGCGACAGGTTTGTTAGAGGCCTGGGATGTAGAACATCACCGCTGATTCCCAAGGAACTGCCGAGAGCAGAGGTCGGCAACCTTTTTCTAGAAACGAACAGACGGTAAACGTTTTTGGCTCTCAGGCCATACTGTCTCTGTTACAACTACTCAACTTTCAACTCCACGTTCAAGTGCGAAAGCAGCCACAGACAACAGTAAGTGATGAGCAACAAATCCATATTTTAAAAAAAGGCAGATCGAGCCTTGGGCTGTAGTTTGCTGACCCCTGGCCCAGAGGGACTCACTCATTGGAATGAACAAGGTTTGTGAGCATAGTGAGCTTTGGAGAGTTGGCCTAATGTCTCTGCTTCTAACTCAAATGCTTTTTCCCTTCTTCGCTATCTGGTGAGCTTGAACTCATTCTTCAAGTCTTAACTTAAACATCACTTCTCTGGTAAAGCTTTTGCTGACCTTGGTCTCCAGAAGGATGAGGAAATAGGAAAGTAACCAGATGAGAACAGATTTATCAAAACCAAGGGAGAAAAGAGCTACCAAGTACTTAGCAGATGCTTAACATATGTTTGACTTACATTAATTTATTTTCAAAGCATCCGCATTAAAATTAAATTTGAATTCAAGTCTCTAAATATTTATTGAACTATTTTTTTCTCATAGACAATCTGTGAAATGATTTCTGGTAATCCAAATTAATGCCAGATAGGCGGGTAGTTTAAATATCAAATGAGTATCATTTTAATGGATTACATTTTAAAACTTAAAAGCATGTCCCAAAGATCAAAATATCTGTATCGATTCTAACTTTCTTACCTCCTGTTTTCTCTTTGCCAATGATGACATCAGGATAGAGTCTGCCTGCTTTCCTTAGATGAGGGAAAAAGAACTTTAAGACTTCAAATGCATTAGATACTGTTTTGTTCTCATCCAATGTACTCACTGTCTTCTCAGCTGAAAGAGAGAAAAAAATTGGGCTTCTGAGTTCACTACTGTAGTGATTTTTCTCTCTCAGGTATAATTTTTTTTTTAAATAAGTGTTAATAAATTAATTCACCAATTAATTTAGTATCTATGTACAAGAGAAATGCTATTAACTGTAAATTATTAAAATCATAAGGCTACAAAATATAACTCAAAAGATTACTGATTCATATTTATTTTAAAAATAATACAGCAGGTCCTCAAATGGCATCATTTCGTTCAACATCCTTTTATTGAGGTTGCTAAGTTGCCATAGGAACTTAACTCTCGTTTCTATCTATTAGCATACAGTAAAATTGGTTTCCTTATATATCACTTCACTTAAAGTCACAGAACCAACCAACAGTATTAAGTGAAGACTTCCTGTATTTAAGTCTAGCGCTGTGAGCTCCACAACCAGAGGCTAATAAAACTATCAATTCCAAATAAAGGAAGTATAACTGAAAGATACTATAATTAATCTGATTTGCTACTTTGATTAATATCACGCCATTAAAGTTTATATCCCTATCATTTCATTTTGTAGCCCCCTAAAATATTTAATGACTCCAATTGTACCATTTATTGAATTTGCCTCTACAATTTTGAAAAAGAACAAAGTTGGAGGCCTCTTATTACTCAATTTTAATTCATAATACACAATACAGTATAATTCATAATACACAATACAATTAAGATGACATGGCATTATGGGAAAAAAATAGATACATGAATCAATTGAAGAGAATAGAGAATCCAGAAATTAATCCACACAAATATGGTCAACTAAATTTTGAAAAAGGTGCAAAGGCAATTCGATGCAGAAAGGACAGCCTTTTTAACAAATGGTGCTAAGACACTTGGACATCTACGGGAAAAAAAATTGAACCTTGACTTATTCTTCACACTATTTATAAAAACCAACTCAAAGGCTTTGCAGACCTAAAATGTAAAACTTAAAACTATAAAATAAAAAAAAGAAAATTCTAATGAGCTAAGTAAAGAGTTCTTAAATACGACATTGAGAGCATACTACATAAAAAGAAAAATTGATAAATTGGACTTCATGAAAATTAAAAATGTTTGCTTTCGGAAAAACACCATAAGGAGAATGAAAAGACAAGCTGCAGACTGAGAGAAAATATTTCCAAATCACATATCCATCTGATATGTATTCAGGATGTATACAGAACTCTAAAAACTCAACAACAAGAAAACAAACCACCCAATTAAAAAAAAATGTGCAAAAAAGACTTGAACAGACATTTCACAAAGAAGAGATACAGATGGCAAATAAGCACATAAAAATTTCCAACATCTTTACACTAGAGAAATACAACTCACAACTATGAGATACCATGGCATTAGAATGTCATAATAAGCATGAGTGACTGGAACTCTCGAACAATTGCTGCAAGGAATGCAAAACGGTATGGCCTCTCTGGAAAAGAATTTGGCAGTTTCTTATAAAGTTAAACATACATTTACCATATGCCCATCAATCCCAGATATCTATCCTAGAAATGAAAATTCTCTTCAAATGAAAAAACTGTACGTGAGTGCTTATAGCAACAGGTATTTGTAATCACCAAAAAAAAAAAAAAAAAAACCACTAAAAACAACACGAATGTCCCTCAACCGGTGAAACAAATGATCCATTATACATTCATACAGTGGAATGCTACTCGGCAATAAAAAGGCAACAGAAAATTGGCCACACAACCACTTGGATGAATCTATGCTAAGTGAATGAAGCCAGTCTCATAGGGTTACCTATTGTGTGATTCCTTCGTGCGGCATTTGGGAAAATGGAAAACTATAGGAACAGAGGACTGATCAGTGGTTGCCAAGAGTTAAGAATGGGGGTAGTATTTGACTACAAAGGAGTAAGTGTGACACGGGACTTTTTATCCTGGACAAAAAGGGAACCGCAAAGGTTGAGGTACAGGATAGTGTGGCCCTTACTTTGGCTACAGTGAGGATAGGTGGAGACAAGACTGGAGAGAGAGAAAAAATAATATGTTAGTCATCATCCAGATGAAGCATGAAGGTGGCCTGACTAGGGTAGTAGAGATGGTGATGGGGAAATATAGACAGATTTGTGAGATATATAGGTTCACGAATCAGCAGGATTGCTTACTGACTGACATGGAAGTATACAGCGGGGAGAGGTAGGAGTCAGAGCTGATGCTCAGGTTTCTGGCTGTGTCTCTTGGGTGGATCATGGTTAGTAGCACAATTCACAGAGATAGGAAACACAGGAAGACCATTTTCCAGGTAGAGATGAGAGGAAGTATATCCATGTCTCTTACCTGATTTTTCTGTGTCTCATAATAAAAGAATGAGTACTGACTTAGTTATATTTCTTGGGGAGAAATGCCCTAAAACCAGAAAGCGTAAAATCTAAATTTCTAAACACAAACTAACAAACAAACAAACCACCAGACACAAAAGCAAAGGCAACACAAACCTAAGTTTACTGATAGATTTTTTTTAACATCATACTTCATTCTATTCAACACTTTTATCAGCTGTTGGTGATTTCTTTTAGTTTGGTTTTTTAAATGTAGAATATTTTCCTTAAACTCCAAAATACGGTTTCTGCAACTGAATAGTTGATTACCTGCAAAGAAAACATATATATTTAAGTTTATACATGTAGCAATGGTATCATTCACTTTTCTAAAACGTAACAAAAATGTAAAATATATGCTTCAATATAGCTATATATAGCACTGTTTATATATGTATATATAGTGCTATATATATTATATACACACACGTACATACACACGCATACACACACACACACACACACATACACACACACACCAAAGACTGGAAAAAGAATGAAATGTTAAAAATAATATCTAGAAGACGGGGTTATCAATGGTTATTGCTTTAGTATGTTGTGCTTTTCTATGTTTTCCAATTTTTCCATTTTGTGCATATATCAGGTTTGTACTTAGAAGGAAAAACCACTTGCGCCAAAAAAATTCACTCCTAAGGATTTATCTGAAGAAAATGACCAAAATATGTACACAGATTTGGTTCTAAGGCTGTTCAACATACACAGCATTATTCAACATGGTAAGAAGATCAGAAACATCCTAAATGCCCAACAATGGAAATATGCTACTTACAGAATATCCTCTTGAGAGAGGAAGAGCGCTGGTGGCTCTGCTGTTAAATTATGTACAAACGAAGACCAGTTTTACCACTTAATGTTTGTGTGACTTGGGCAAGCTGTTTAATTTTCGTTAGCCTCTATTCCTTCGCATGTAAATGGACATATAAGAACCCTTGTCTCAGAGTCGTTGGGAAGATATAATCCGAGAATGCATGCAAACCACATGGCAAAGCACATTAAAAAAAGCTTTGACAAATGTCTAATAAATGTTATCAATGGACTACTCTTTATTCCTTTATGCGTGGAATACTATGCAGCTATGACAACCACCTTAGAGAAGAATATTTAATGCTGTAAAAACAACTGTAGTTTTACAGATAAAACTATGTATAAAATACTTTTCGAAAAGAAGTACATACACATATAGTAAAAAAAAGAGTACAGTTTATATAACCTTTGGTTTGTTGGATAACTTTTTATTTCCTATTTTTACATTTTTTGTTTCTAAAATCATGTTGCATCGCTTCTATAATCACACACATACACAAAATAACAAATGAAAAAGTAAACACCTTTTATTTGCCAGGTACTCTGGGTCAATGGAAATACAAAAATAAAAAACGACATGGTCAGTTTTGGCCTCCAGGAAGTGTTTTAGGCTAATTGGTAGAACGAACCTAGCTGATAATATAAATCTACGTGATATAGTTTCTCTTCTCCTTGGCTTTTAACTAAGAAGCCCACACATAGGTCACACCAGCGCCAAACACGGGTCGCCAGCTTTATTTGGGGCTGACAACGGGGACACCGCAGAGTGCACCGGGATGTCCTTCTTCCCCACCCAGGTTGACTTTCCCCCACTCTCAGCCATTATCGAGAGAGAAGATGGACAACTAAGGGGCCACACATGTGCTTATGACCTCGGAGGAGAAAGTACAGAGGTTGATGGCGGGGCCTCCTTTCAGAGAGAACATGAAAGAGGACGAGAAAAGAGCCAGACACGGCCCAAGTTGCCTCTCCGAGGAAGCGACTCTGCCTCCTCAGTGTGGCCTGTGAAAGTCAAGTCTACCAAACCCCCCATGTGGATGTCTTCTGAGACACTCAGAACAGGGGCTCTGCAAACCTAGAAGCTGTTCGTTCTTGCAGGGGAACATGGGGAGAATCCACAGTGAGGTTAAAAAGGGATCTGGTTGAGCTCACCTTTTGTTGTGCTGTGATGAGGAGCTTGAACTTTTACTATAGACCCGTGTTTCCTAAACCTTTCTTCTGAAACACCTCTAATGGCAGTGAATTTGAACAGAAGGGGTGCAGGCGAAGGCATGACCTGAAATAGCCCACCACATTCATGGAATTTCTGGGAAGCTTCTTTAAAATGTCTACGAGTTGTGTGGCCCATTCCGCAGTATGCATCTGCTTTAATATAAAGATAATGGAGTTGTGTCTCCAGGTCCAACATTTTCCAGGTGACTAATTGTATATCTTAGAAGACCCCTACGGACTGTCATGGGAACAACCATTTCAGTGGAGGAGCATAGCTGAGGACCGTTAGGTACAACACGTGGCCGTACAGAAGATTGTTTCAGGAAGGCAAAACTAAAGCCAGAGAAACCACCACTTAGGAACCTAGAGTGATAACATTTTCATGCAGGAGATGATAAAAGGGTAAACCAAGGTAGAAAGGATCAGGAAATGGGGCTGACTATGAGAAATACCTGAGAGCTTTTAAAGAAAGACTTAGTAACTGATTGAGAGAGTGGAGACCAGAACCCCTGCTGGGTTTCCAACAGGACTACTAGATTTCTAACCAGGGACTCAGCCTGGACTGGGAAAAGGTACTCAGCCTGGACCTGCAACTATCCCAGATAAACAGGGCCGGAGGTGCTTATGAGGTTTCCAGATGCGTGGTAAACATTTGGCTATATGACCTTGAAGTTCGAGAGTGGGATTAGGGCTGGTATTGAGAGTCTTGAGATGCATTTGTAAAATGGAGCAAGAAAATGTAGTGATGAAATACTGTCCCAGTCTTACCTGGGGACAGGTACTTCGTCCCTGCCTTGGCTCTCACACTAGCCTTAGCCTAGGGCAGAGGATTCAGTCTTTGAAATCCAGCAGGGTGCTATTATCAAATGAAGAGATTTGTCAGCATAGAAACTGATTTGAGTGATTCTAAAACTGAATCATGCTTCATCAAAAAACTGCAACTATCCCAGATAAAGCTTAAATAACCACATAGCGGATACTACTTGAGGATGCTCACAAATTTTGGATGTAGATGTAGTTTAACCAGCATCAACCTGTGTTGTTGGGGTTCCCCAGGTAATAGTCTCGTTGCAAAATGGGTGGTGTGTTTGGAGTTGATATACCATGGGTGATGCAACATATCTGGGCTTCGACAATGTAAGTCAGTCCTTGAGGGATCAATTTAGTAAACATGAAAAGAAAGAGTTTTCTCTAGAGGAAGTAGTATTTGCAGAAACAACAACATAGACATATTAGAGGACATGATCTCTAGTCTTAGATCTGCTTCTTATATATTCTTACCTGATAATTCAATTCATAAGTATCCTATATAAATATTTGCATTATTTGCACATTCACTCAGGTATTTCATGAGTATGGATTGTTATAAAATTATTTTGCAAAGGTGTGAAATAAACAGTAATTCAATATTTTGAGTCACTTGTGCTAAAACTGTGAAAACAAACACCAGTCCATGTGTGCAATGGGCCAACGTGACTTCTACCCATAAGCAAGGGTCCAGATGAGGTCAAGGGGCCAAGGTACTGCCCTCCAGTAAAAATAAAATGCAAGCCACGTTTGTAAGTTTAAATTTTCCAGTAGCCACATTAACAAAGGTAAAAAGGAACAAGGGAAAGTAATGGTAAATAATATATCTCATTTAATCCAATATATCTAAAATATTTTTCCAACATGTAATCAACATAAAAAGTAATTTACGGAATAGTTTACATTCTCTTTTTTTTATATTAAGTACTCTAAATTCTGTATTTTGTACTTACAGTACATCTTAATTCAGATGCTAAATTTTAACAGTTATAGTGAAAAACAATAAAATTTTGCTTAATGGAGAAGCAAATTTAGATTACTTAAAATTAAATTGAAAAATTCAGTTCCTCGTTTGGACTAACTACATTTCAAGTGCTCAGCAGCCACCTGACTAGGCGCCACCACACGGGGCAGCCCACGTCATGACACCAGCTGTGGGCTTATTTGAAATGCGGTATCTCAGTCCTCACCCTCAGACCTACTGAGTCAGAATCTGCATTTTAATAAGATTCACAGGCCAGTGGTATGCCTGCCAACATTTGAGAAGCACTGTTGTAGACTTCCTTCATTATCTGTCTCACCATTGACTTCACCATAGAGTTCGGGAACGTATTGCCTCTAGCTGCACTATTATTATAACTGCCTCTTAATTGGTCTCTCACCTCCAACTTTCTGGAAACTTTGCTCAAAGACTTTAAAAGGTTCCCTGAATGCTCACTGAATAAAGTCCAAAAGACTTGCCTTAGTATATAAGGTCCTATGGGATATGGCCATATCCTAACTTTTCTACCTTATTTCATTCACTAAACACCCCCGGTAAGGAGAAGCACGCTGACTTTTTTGTTCTTCCTTCCATTAAATAGTTACTACGTGCCACTCACTGTGTCGTGTGGCAGGTAAACAAACATGAAGTCAGGTTCCTGATCTAAATGAACTGACAAGCAGGCTGCAAGGGCTGGGAGAAGGGAGCATATATTTAAACAACTCGGTACGATGGAATTGTCAAAATAGTATTATCCTCCAAGTGCTACAAGCAAAGGGAGACAGGAACGATGAACAGCCCACGCGCCCTTGGATTCAGGACTCCAACTAAGAGCTGCACCTGGGAGCTGCTCTCCTCACTAGTTCCGCTCCTTGGGATTTTGTAGGCATCCTCCCACAAGGTCGTAGACCTTGGTGATTATATATGGTTTCCCACTTGGATGGGGAGAAAGGGAAAACCCCAAAACATTCACTGATAAAGTCTGGGTGCCCAGAAACGAGCCCTCTCTGCGGCGCTGAGGGGCATTCTCACCCCGAAAAGCGCTGAAGTGCTGGACCCACAAAGGGTCTCATGCTGCCAGATGAAAAGGGGCAGGACAGAGGGAGATCCATCGCGGAGCTGGTGGAAAGTCTGCGAGGCGGCCTGCAGGTGCGCGGCCGGGGGTGGCCAAGACGTGTGCGTTTGCTGCAGCACAGCCGAACGGCGTTTTGGTTTCAGGTAAATGCCCAGAAGTGGAGTTTTCCAGGAAACTCACAACCGTTTTACACAGTGGCTGCACTGATTTGCATTGCCACCAACAGTGCACGAAGGTTCCCTTTTCTCCGCATCCTCACCAACACTTGTGATTCCTTATCTTTTTTATAATAGCCATCTACCAGGGGTGAGGCGGTAACTCATGGTGGTTTTGATTTGCATTTCCCTGGTGATTCGTGATGTTGAGCATCTTTTCACGCAGATGGCTTCCTATCTCGATCAGAATAAAAGTCATAGTTCCTACTGGCGTCTCCATGATGTCATCCTGTACAACTCTCTTCCTTGCTGCTTTCTGTCTTTGGCCTCCGGGCCGTTTCTTAAACACATCCAGCTGATTCCAGCACGGGGTCTTCGCATGTGCTTTTCTCATTGCCTCGAAGACTCTTCCTCAGATACCCACACAAAATGCTTCCTTACTTCATTCGGGAATCTCATCGAATATGACTTTCTCAGAGAATTCTTTTCCGACACCCCTATCTAAAATAGTACTTTCTCTTCCCTGACGTTATACAGCAATTACATCATTCGCATTTGTTGTTGATTTCTCCTAACCCCATAAAAGTAAGCTCCGTAACAGTGAGGGCTTTCTAAAATTTTGTTCACCTAGTTTCTACAACATGGATAGGTACTTATCCATTCACACATTCACTCACTCATTCATTCATTCAACAAATATTTTGCATACCTATTTATATGCCAGGCATTTTTCCAGATGCTAGGGACACAGCAGTGAACCAAACAGGCAAAAAAAAAGACAAAAAAATTCCTCTCCTCAGGGAGTTTACGTATTTGTTGAACAAATTAATGAATTATTAATACAATGAATTATTAATACTATGAATTTGTAGAAACAAAAAATTATATACACATAAAATTATTTTTAAAAGGAAAAATAATGAAACAATAGGTGGTATCTTATCTTTCTAACAAATATTTCCAAATTTTCATTTATAAGAATCACAACTATAGATCAAAATTTTAAAATATTGTGACTATCTTCGGTGTTTTATAAAAATCACTACTTCAGAAACTAAACGTAGTCTGTGTTTTCTTTTGTTGATGTAAGAACATTCCATTATACTACCAGGATTTCCTAATTATTTCAGACCTAGGTTCTACAGAAATACATACACAGAAAAAGAAAACTCTTTTTTGTCGGCTCATTTGAGAGTAGTGCATTCTCAAGAACGATATCTCATTTTTTGAACTTGAACATATGAATGATGAGAATATAAACACTGTGAAGAGCCAAGTGTGTTTTTTCTGTTCGTAACTAGAAAACACGTTAAAATGGTTGCATGTATCCCAAAGCCTAGTTTCATCATATGAACACTAGCTGTATTAAAGTGACATCTGAGATTGCTAATCTAAATCGCTTTCCAAAATTACTATAAAAGGTTTTATATTTTGCTTTCTAATTATGAGTGATGGCCCATTTTTTGTTATAAAAGTGCTCACTGTTTATTGTTCTAAAGTAAAAACACATTTGGATAATGTTCTTTTAGAAAATGAAGAACAGAAAAAGTGTATAAAATTATTAAAGATTAGTATAAATCAGATAAATTACTGTTTTTAATATTTGAAACAAATGGGGTACAATGTTTGTAATTGTATGTACATGACAAAATTTAGTATTAGAGGACATAAACATTAATTAGAGGACTAAAGCCACTTGCAAATTTGATTCTTGACAGGACTACCAAAATTACTTGTGTGCACCTGAGTCATAACTGTGTTTAAGAACAAGAATGAAAATTTAACCTAAAACAACCTAAGGACAATCTTGGAAGTCTAGCTTAATATATTTACAGAATTCCTAAGTCTTAAGTTCAAAATTCAACTATATGGACGCTAAACTGCTACACTATAGCCTAGAGTTGAAAGATAAAATACAGGAAACCTAGTTAAATTTGAATTTCAGATAAACAACTTTTTAGTATAAATATATCCCATGTAATTTTAATAGTAAAAACTTACTGTTTATTTGAAATTCAAATTTAACTGGGCAGCCCCTATTTTTATTTGCTAAATTGGCAACCCAATAGACAACAATAAGTTAAAACCTTGATGTGTTTCAAAGTGGTAACGCAAGTCACACGGTCCATTTAAGAAAGCTCATACGCTAAACTAGAGCTCTAAGCTGGTCGATTATGTCTCTCTCCACCGTCTCATTCCTTTACAAAAAGTACTTCAGAGAACCTTTAAGTGTGGCTCAATAACATAACATAGAACAGGAATGAGGTAGGACGTTGGATATGGGAGAGTTGTTCTTGGAGTCACGCATCCGCGTTTCTGGGAACGCTGGGACGGAGGGTGCGGGGAAGCTGGGCACAGATCGGTCCCCTTGAACCTTTGGAGGGAAACGGCGCCCGCAGATGCGGCCCGAGGCCCCGCAGGCCAACCCGTTAGCGCGCGCACCCAGCGGGGTCCAGGACACCGGTGTAGACCCGGACGCCCGTTACGATTCAACCGCCGGCCGGACAAGGGCATCGGGGACTCCACCTGCACAGCCCCTAACACGAGAGCAGGCGACCCCGCCAGGACCCCACGTCGCCCTCCTCCTCTCCGACCCGGCCGCCCCAGCAATCCTGGAGCCCCGAAGCCGGGAAGGCGGGAAAGTTGGCGGGCGAAGTCACCCGCCGCTTACTGGTTTGAGTCATCCTGGAGATGCAGAAGCAGGAGAAGCTGAAGAGCATGACAGCGACGAGCGCGATCAGCAAGTTCACGCGCTTGGCCCTCATGGAGCTGGCCCGGCGGGGCAGCGGGCAGTGCAGCGGGTGGAGGCGACCAGCAGCGCCCACGCCCACGCCCACGCCCACGCCGCCCAGGGTGAGCACCACGGCGCCTGCGCCCCCGGACGCGCGCCCCTGCGCACCCTCCGCACGGTGTCGCCGGGCCCCCTGCACGCCCGCCCTGTGGGAGCTTCCTTCCCTGGGAGAACTGCTGAAACCTTTCTCCTTTGCATAGGGCTCAGCGCTTAGAATCCAAACCGCTTGCTAGGGCCGCTGGTAAAGTGCATGCGACAAACTATGGGAAAAAGCTCCCCACCGCCTGACACGTGGTGAGTGCTCCGTGGCTTATTTTCCTGTCGTAGTGACTTTTGCGCCAGACTCTGGGCTAAACAGTTTGCATGTATTATCTTGTTAAATCTTCACAACATCCCAGTTTTTTAAAGAATAAAATGAAGATAAAAATAGCATCTACCTACTATACTATTATTTTCATTTTCCCTTGGAAAAAAAAAATTTTGAGCCATAGTGAAATCCAGCAACTTGCCTCAGGTTGCACAGATAGTAGTGGTTCCTCTACAAATTTTGTTCATAGATAAGAAGTTTCTCAAGAAAATATATCTCTACTTGGAGATCATTAGCTTTAAATGATAGCCATCACATATCCAAATGGCCCGGGGGGCTTAGATTTTTGTGTGGGAAGTGCTCAACCTCAGAACTTCAGCTAAATCCCCTTATGTTTATTATTTTTTTATTTGTTGGTATCCCCTCCCCCCGGACAGGAGCAGGGAGTCAACTTTTGTTATATATACCATGGGTAGCTGCCCAAGGGAGATTTGCTCCGTTCTGCCAAGTTTAAGTATCAGTTTCTCAAGCTTTAAGCCAAGGCTGGGACACACTAGGGGAACATCAGTAGGGGAACACGCTTTGGTCTTCTTAAATGTGGTTTTCTATTTGGGTTCTCCACACTGATCATTTCTATTTGGGGCTCACTGGCAGTGCCTGGTAATAAGCATTCTACTTCAAATCAGCACTGCACCACTGGCTGGGCTAGTTTTTGGCCCTTTGAGAGGGAGAAAGATTTGAACACATGCCAGCCTGAGGATGTCATTATGAGCTGTGTTCTCATGAGCTAGTGGCCGGGAGGTGTGGCCTTCAGTTGAGCAGTGACACAGCCAGATTCCCAAAGAGGGAGCCGGGATGAATAAAGAGCTCATCTTTATTCTCCTTCATCCCATCAACCTCCCGTCGGTCTTCACTTTGGCTAAGCTCCACTGAAAGCCAGAAAGCAAGAACGTTTGGTTTGATGTACTAGATCATACGAACCTGCCTCACGGGTGTGCAGCAGGGTAGACAAAGATGCAGAGTCGACCAAAGTGGGGGAAGGAAGCTCCCAGCACAGAGATGCCTCCCAAATCAATATTTCATTGTTCTCTTACTTGAACTCGTTTCACATTTTCAGTTGCCTTTAAAATTCAAAGTAGCACTTTGCTCATATCTTCATGTTTCTGGAATCGGCATGTGTTTTCCGGTCAATTTTTTACATTTGATATAATTATTTCTTCTTCTTTTGTATTTTTTTTCCCAAAGAAAGGAAAAACCAAAATCATGCTAGTCGGTCAATGGTTTGTCTGTGAGCCAGAACACATGATATTTATTTACCGAGCACCTACTCTGTGCCAGCCACTGAACTAGTCACCTGCTGGTTCTTGGCTCCACTTTTGTATTCATGCTCAGATACAGACTGCACCCCACACACACTCATAATCCTATCAAAAGTATCCAAGATGCAGCCGAAATGCCATTTCCTCCAGGAAGCCTTCAGTGATCACTCATGTATAGAGCAAGCCCTCTCCTCTTTGAACTCTTGTAACACTTAGATCCTCTCTCAGGGCACTCAATCTGCATCCTGTTTAGTTGTCGTACTTATTTTATTTCATCTGCCATGTTATGAGCCCCTAGAAGACAAAGATCATGTCTTATACACATTTTTATATCAAATTCCCCACTGTGCATTTCAGGTTGTGTTACGGATCAAAGGTATTGATTCAAATACAACCCAGTGGTACAACTGAGCTGTATCCACAACTAACCGCCTGCAGTTGCTAACCTTATGACCATTTAAGCCAACAATAAACATCACTCCAGGACACCCAGAAGGTAAAGAAGGCAGGAGCATCCTCAAAGACCTTCAGACTTGCCTTCTGTGATTTGTTTTTAGTGTCACCTTCAGATCATGGGAAGTAGAGAATTACCAGGCTGAAGGTAAATATTTGCTCAAATAATAAGAATGGGAAGAGTGGCCTCTGCGGGTATTACCAGCATTAAATCTATCGAAGCTTCTTTAGTTATCGTCATTCTAAACACTGGTCTCACGACTATTATTAGCACAGAAAAGTAAAGACAGATTTTTCGCTGTGTACATATATAATCCTGGAGGTTAAAATAATCTGAAAGATAATGACTGTTGATAAAATGTTAGCTGTCGTAGCCCCTATTTCTGTTTCAGGTTACTTAGAAATAAGTCATCTGTACCCAGGGTGAGTGCCATCCCTTCAGCACAATTCAGGAAAATGATAGTCCTAAAAGGGAGTTTTATGGACCATCTATGACAGTGCTTCTTCTTAAGCTTCAGCATGCCCCAAAATCACCTGGAAATCTGTTAAACACAGATTGCTGGGCCCACCCTTGGAGTTTCTGAACCTCTCCTGGATATCCTTTCATGGATATTTTGTTGGAAAGAGTCATGAAGTTTAGATCTCGTTCAGCAACAGAAGTGGACTGCGAATTAGTTAATCCTAAAGCAGAGATGCTACCAGCTCATGTGTGTGTTATAACACACCTCAAAGACAGCTCTCAGGACACGAATTCCATTTTATTTGAGAATTTTGTTGTGCAGCTTCCTCTTTATCACAACCTCTTTCTGATATCACCTATATCGTATCAGATCTTAATATAATTTGCCACTCTTAAATTATGGGAATTGTTTTCATTAGAGCCTAACAGCATGCTGGCAAATGGGTTCTCCAACGCCATCACCAGGAACTTTTTGAGTCCAAAATCCCAATGGTCGCCACAAGGTGGCAGTATTACGTTTCAGTCAAAGCCTCCAGTTTGCGTGTACTTTGGTGTCAGAAACTTGTAAAATTATGTGCGAATGTGTTGAAATGGGAGGGTCTCAGCAGCATACTTGGGCTACTTCTCCTTAGATATTTTTCACAGCTTGCCAAATAGCCCTTCGAGGTGTTGTGCCTCCTTTTTATTGGCAAGGTCCTGGGTGGGGGGAGGAGTATTTTATTATTTACCGTTTATAGTAAATAATACTTTTGGTGACCCAAAGTTAGTTTAGAAATTTCACTGATCGTGCTAAGTTCCAAATCTTAGCTGGACTGATTAACCACTCAGCTAGTCATATGTGCCATTACAGCTCTCAAAATTGAGTTTGTCCCTCAAAGGGGGCGATGATCATGTCATCGACATAATAAATTAACTTAAATTTTATGGGGATCATATCTAAATCCAATCTCACCAAATTATGTCAGTAAGGTGGAGAGGTCCAAGATACCCCTGGGGAAGGAACATAAACATATAACACATTCCTTCACGTACAAGCCAACTGTGCGTGACTTCTGACATTGAGACCAAGAACAGAGCAGCAGCCAAATCTATCACAAAAACATCCCAGTCACAGTTAGCTTGTCAAACCTCTTATACAGTTTTGACCATGCCTGGAACAACAGACACTTGTTTAAGCCATAGTACTACCTTGTTTAAAGCTTGACAGTTAACAGCTCTTCCAAGAGCCTTCTCCTGTTCCCAGGGCCACAGAGGACTGATAGAAAGCGTAGGTGGGGATCAGCACTTCCGCTACCATTGTTTCCTAGTGAAACATGAGATGTCCTTCCAGAATCTGCCACTGTCTGATATTTGCTACAAAGGAAGGTTTGAACAACTCTCAGAGCTTCCATTATGCATGTCCAATTAAAACTATATGAAGGGCAGGCTTCTCTGTCTCTTAAAGACATTTGGCTAAAAGCTGGTAGTGACAAAGGTCTTCATCACATCTATTTTAATTACATATTCGGGTAAAGGCAAGAACTAGATCTTTCTTTTTTCTCCATCTTCAGCTTCATAGTGATTCTGGTATGACCTGCCATAACATTTTCCATTTTCATACCTCGACATTGCTTTCCCATTCCCCTGCTGGGATCATGGCACACGTCGCATCCTCATTCAGTGATCCCGGAGAGGTTTTCCACCATCCTCTGCCCCTCACGATGGACTACGTCATATAATCTGGGACCTCTTAGCTGGGGTCAAATGAAGATTTGACCCTCTAGATGATTTTGCTTTTCTCCCACAACATTAAAGGATGGATTAAAATCACTACCTTGTGCTAAACACAGCTTGTTTCCCTTGAGCATCATTGGTTTGAAACTCGTCCAGTCTGGGATAATGGGAACAGATCTGACAGGGTAACTCGGATGAAGTGGATGCCGCAAAACCCATTGCAGGGATCCTGTGAAGCTCCCTGCTTCTCTATTCCCTGTCACCCTCTGACTTAAAAAAAGAAAAAAAAATCACATAATTTTATCTAGTTCAGTGTTTATTTCCTTCGTTCTGGTTACCATTTCCACCGCAGTCCAGTAGCTTAATTCTGAATAACTTAAACTTTCTTTCCATTGGTAAAGCCCATCACTAGTAGCTGTTAGGACAAATCGGCCTTGGCATTCTGTAGATTTCCTTGTTCTCCCATTAAAAGAATCACATGGGGAAACCATACATGAGAGGTTCCCCCTAATCACAGTGTCTAACATAGTGTCTAACATTTCAGGAAATGCCACGATTATCATAAAACCAATCAGGGTTGCCACTGTCCTTAATATTTTTAATGCTTCCACGGAGGTAATCCATTTCACTGTTAGTGAAAGGAAGATAAGATTTTCCTTTCTTGCATTCCAGATTTCACACACTCCAAAAGGGGGCAATGATATTTAACATCGGTCCACTATGGATCGAAGGCCGAACACTGCAACAAGTTGCTGATTAACAGTCAGACCGAACAACTCTTTTCATGAGGACATGGTTGTTCAGTCTGAGAATCTAAGAATGCTGATATTCCTCAGTACTACTCAAAAATATAACCAAACTCCATCACATTGTAGCCTTTGTTTTCCATGTCAGTATATTCAATAAGGCCAACTTAGTTCAGAAACCTAAGTATGTACCACCTTCTCCTTGATGCCAGAATTCTAATTTTTGGACTTAACTACCATTTAGCCAGCCACGTGGAAGAAGAAAACCAGAGAATAAGAGAGAGAGAAAGTCAATCTTTCCTGAGGGACAGATCTGGTTTAACATATCTGTCAGTTACATGCAAATGATTATAGGAAAAGAGAAGAGGCCGTCACATACACATGACACTTTGATGTACAGGGACCTTGCTTCCAAAAAGTTCAGTTCAACCCACTTCTCAAGTTCTGATCAAACAGGTTAGCATTCTCTTCTCCTGGAGAAAAGCATGGATAGAAGTGGACCGGCAGGCAGCACAGACACCGGGAAGAGCTGCTCCCTGCTCCCAGCACAGCACATTGAAAAGGTAAAAGGATTCTATCACTGTGCTACAGATTTATCTGACTTTCTGTTTTATAAAAGTCTTGTGCAAAAATGCAGAGACCCCCTGAAATAGACGTTAATTTCTATTTCTTATTTTGCCAAATTGGCTATGTACTTTGCCTTTCTGAATCTTTTTATGCACCACAAAAAAATTTTCAGTGAGATGATCTTTAAGTTCCCTTCTACGTCTAAGTTTTATGATTTTATTATTATAGTATATGCCCAGATTTTTATTACCAAGTTGATTGCTGATTGCTTCTGTGGGCTTGGGATGATGGCTTATGCACCCTTCACATGTCTAGTGTTTCACAATCAGTACCTTTTAAAAACAAATGTTGGTTGAAGTGCAGAAAAGTGTGCATTGCTGCTTCAATCTGTATTAAGGAGATGGAGGGAATACACATATACACACTTGCATAGAATATTCCTAGAGGTATAAACCAGAAACGAATACTGGTTGCTTTTAGGCAAGGGAGCTGAGGAACCAGGAGTCTTGGGGGGGTGGCGGGAAGTTATTTTCATTATGGAAATTGTCCTTTGTACTTATATTCTGCATTTTCTTTGCTCTTTCTCCTCCGGCCACACTGGCCTTCTTCCACTTCTGCCAAATACACGAAGCATGCTTCTGATTCAAGCCTCTCCCCCTTGCCATTCCAGTGCCTGGAATATTCTTCCTCCATACTCTTCAGGTTCACTCCCTTACTTCACCCCGGATACTGCCTGTCACCTTAATGCAGAGACTCCCCCGATTATACTGTACGTAAAAACTCCCCCTCACCATCCCCCTTACTTCAGCACTGCCTGGCATACTAAATATTTGCGTTTATTTACTGTATGACTCCCTTTTGGGACCCTGCCCGGTGTATATTAGGCAATCAACAAATACCTGAATTAATGTACTGTTTGAGGTTCGATTTGTACAAAATCATGCACATAAATTACTTTCTCAAGAAAAACAACCAGTTAAGGAATAAATATTTGAGGAATTAACTGTTCAATGTTTATTATTATAGCACGAAGTCCAAACTAATTCGCTCAACATACAGGACTTTCCTTATCCAATTTATTAGTTAGGAGCAAGTCATTTATCGTAAATTCCTTTTCCTCATCCATAAAGCAGGACTATTAATAACTACAGTTGACCCTTGAGCAACGCGGGGTTTAGGGACTCAATCCCCCCTGCAGTAGAAAACCCGCGTAAAATTTAAGTCGACCTTCCGCATATGCGGATTCTCAACCGCGGACGGAAAATAAACAGAATTAAGACAAATTTAGGGGAAAGCTCTTTTGTAACCTTGACGCTATATGACAGTTACCAAAAACACACTGCTCGCTCCGCGCTGGAGTGTAGAAAAGAACACGGTTTCAACTCACACAGCAGACAAGTGGTTTAAAGCGAGAGAAGTCTCCAGAGCCGCGCTTAGGAGAGACAACCTTTGGCGCGGGGCGTGCCTCCAGGTAGCCGTTGCTAGGGAAACCGTCGGCGTCCCTAGAATCCGAGCACGCGCGCCGCGGCAACTCTGCGTTAGCAATTGGTGGAGCACGAACCAATCGGAGGAGGTGGGAGGGACCGGCGCGGGGCGGGCCGTGTCCCGGGGAAGGCGTTCCCGCGGGCTCGTTCCCTGACTTCCGGGTCGCGGTGCTTGCAGGGAGCGCTCTGCGAGTAGCGTCGTTTCCGTTGCCGGCTGTTTGCAGTTGGGGAAACCGAGGCAGACTTCAGCTCCCCATAGTTCTTCCGCTCCTGTGAGGTGGCTGCTGTTTCTTTTCCTCTCGCCCCGTGCTGCTTCCTTGTGCGGGCTGCGCGAGATCAGCGGCGTCCCACGGAAAATCCGGGGGGCGCCCGCGACCGCAGGGCTTTGTGCAAGCCGGTCCCTCCCACTCGCGGGCAGCGCGCGATCTGGGCTCCGCTGGGCTCCGGAAAGGGGACTCGGTGCAGCGACTCCCCGAGGTCTGGGGAGCTCGGACACCGCTTGGCAGTTCTTTTGTCATGATGAGCGCGGACTAGATGGGTTCATTTTAAAGTTACAGTTCCACTCATCTCTGATGTGCACTTTTTTCTGCACTGACCTGCGGGGATTTGAATTTGACAGTCCCTAAGGCCCTAGTCTAGAGACGATGTATCTGTGGGAATGTCTAAGACAGGAAGGAGATGAGCATTTTTGTTTGTTTTTAATTTCTCGTTTGCATTGCCCCCACCGTGCTTCATCTAGGAGCTGAAGATTTCTCTTAAGACGTAACGATTCAGTTTTATTGAGGGCGTAGTTTATTACTCTTCTTTCTACCCTTCACCTGTTGAATGGAAAATCAAGAATTAACCAGGGCGTGATCTACTTAGTGTTCAATTTGTACACTTCAATTTGTAGGCCATATGTAATGTTTTTATTTACTGTCATCACCTGACTGTAGGACAGATGTAACGAGTTATTCACAGGAGTTAAGAAGAGCTTTTTCATTATAATAACAATTCTTATATATGGTATATTAGATTTAATTGTTGCTTAGTTGGGTTCCTTTCGTTCATGAACTGTTGAGCCCCAATTCTCAAAGAGTGAGAAATTAAAATAGGAAACTGATTTTTACAGTTAATTTTTAAAAAGTGATAAATTGACCGTTTGATCAGCCATCATTTAATTAAATGGTACGTATTCCACCTGTGGTTGTTTTCTTAGATTCCTAAACACTACTACAAAATAGACACGTGCATAATAGATATTAACATTAATTTAGGATTTGATGAGTTGGATGAACTAATTTTTTTTCCATCTTAAAATCCAATTTAAGGTCTTTAAACTTGTCATATATTTCCTTTTCCAGGAAAAAAATGTTTATTTCTTTGTGGGAGTTCTTCTATGGGCACTTTTTTCGATTTTGGATGAAATGGCTCTTACGACAGATGACTGGAAAGTGTGAATTGCAGCGAATTTTTGATACCTGTGTAGGTGCACAAAGGACACACAAGATAGGTAATGTTATTCTAAAAAGAATAATTAAAAACTAATAAAATTTTAACTGAATATTTTTTCTCAATACTCTTAGTCACCGATGCACTCATTGTGTGTTCATAAAGTCACTTAAGCTGATTTTCCTAATCTTTGAAATCTAGTTTTGAATCCTTCCAACTCTAAAACTTTCTTTTTCTTTTATAGAAAAAGAAAGGGATTATTACTTAATTCCTCATCTGTGCAAACAATTATCTTCTCTGGCTCCTGAAATTCATCAGTTGTTCCTTAGATAATAGTTGCAATTTATATTCTAGAGAAAAACCTCTATATTTCTATAAGCCCTTTGAAATTTTCACTCAAGTGCTGGGAAAGTGAGCGTCTGGATCTAGATCAGTTTTTATACTTAGCATCCTTCATAAATCTTTTAATCCCTTATGTAATTCATGAAAGGACAGTAACAGGTATCCAGTGATCCCTAGGAAAGCTTATTAGACTCAAACTCTGCGCTGTCCAATACTCTAGCCAGTAGCCACATGTGGCTGTTGAGTACTTGAAATGTGATTGGTATGAATCGAGATGTACGGAAGTATAAAATATACACTGAGTTTCAAAGACTTTATATGAATAAAGAATGTAAAAATATCTCAGTAAAAATATCTCCGTTCATATTCATTATATATTGAAATGATACTTTATATATATATTGGGTAAAATATTAAAATTAATTTTGTTTTAGTCTAATACAGCTACTGGAAAATTTTAAAGTACACAAGTGGCTCACATTTTGCCTTGTATTATATTTTTGTTGAACAATCCTACTCTGTTACCTTCTGGAATTCAGTAAGTTTCAATGCATAGTTGAAAATTTTGCTTTAAATTGGAACACAGACGAGTGAGAACTGTGGTAGAAGTCCTTTCTCTTTGTCCAGGATAAGGAAGACCAGGGATCAGCTGCAGTTTATGCTCACTATGTTAAATGGAAAATCATGACTTAATCAGACTCTCCTTTGTGTTGAACAAGTGTGCTACAACTAAGAAATCCACCCCTGTGTCATTTAGGGAGTGAGTGTTGGTATCCAAGGTAACGTGGGAAGGATGACAGACTTAAGCCTCAGGGCAGCTGGATGATTGAAGGTTAATTACTTCCCTAGTTTTCTCACAACTTTGTGGCTGACTTAAATCACTGTCTACTCTTTTCATTTGCCCTTTTGACTGCTCTGAGAAGAACAAAGTACCTCTTGATAAGAAATCTTGGCAGTATTGGTTGGTGTTTTATAGTGTGGGAAGAGAACATATGTTAAGGCCTTACTTTGTGGCAAAAGCATTTTTCTCAAATTTTTCAAATTGCTGAGAAAAAGACCATAGTAACTGTGCTAAAAATTTTAAATAAACCAGTAGAAATGTACTCATTCTTGAAATAAGAACGGAGAAGCTATTTGTCTGATTATAGCATGGTTGGGCAAATAAGCTAGTTGTTTTATTTTTTGCCCCTATGTTGTATGATTCAGTTGCTAGCTCTTTAGATCTAAAGGCTTACTGCTTAAGGTGTTGAAGAGAGCTCTCTCACTGTCGTCTTAAGATTAGTTTCTGGGGCCTGAGTCATCCTGAGGCAGCCATGGGTGAGTTCGCGATGGTTATTGATCACTTGGGGATCTTCACAGAAACAGATGACTTTGGAGAGCTTAGGTTGACTTCACCTCTTGGATTATAGTATATTGTATTGGGTTGAGGATTTTGGAATCGTATCTAGTTCTCCATATTGTAAGGATGAAATTTTAAGATGTTTGCTATTTAATGTAGAAATTGTGTCTTCTAGAACTATTAAGTAATTTATCACTGGCTTGATATTTATACTTATTGTCTATGGAGTAAATTCACAAACAGCATTTAAGTAATGGTGTTTTTTTTGTTTTTTGTTTTCCCATTTCAGAAAATTCCTTGACATACTCCAAGAATAAGGTAGGATCATATCAAGGTGACAATTCTAGAAAACTTAGCTGGGAGATACTTTTTCTTTAAAAGAATACCTCAGTTTTAGAATTAATTATTAATGTCCTACTAGAAGAGTCTTTGCTCTAGAGTATTAAGTGAAATTTTCCCACTTTAGAAGTAATATTCTATTTTTAAAGTATTTTAATATTCTATTTTTAAAGTATTTTCTCTGTGTGTGTGTATGTGCGTGCGTGCGTGCATGCTACTCATGCACAAAAAAGATATTTGAATAATTTGTCCTGGGGTTTTGTTTATTTATTTTGCCTCAAGACTGGATAGCTTTTGGGAAAGCAGGAACTTCTTTTGGACTATGTCCTTAGGAGAAGTTCTCATGTGAGAGAAAAGCAAGCAGTTTGGGATAGTTATATGTATTTTTTGATCCAAAGTAAGTTATACCTCATGCTATATATTAGTCAGCTGTGTAACAAACACTTAAAATCACAGGAGCATATAACAATATGTTATTTATTTCTTGCTCATGTGTTTGTGGGCCAGACTCTTTAAGCTGGTGCCAAGTTTGGGTCTGTTTGATTGTCTCATTCTGAGACCCAGGTTGGAAAGATAGTACCTGGAGAGTGACCTGTGAAAAAAGAAACATTCATACTCTGAATATACGAACACAAATGTACATATATTTGTCAGTTATCTCTTATAGGCAAGATATGAAAAGATAAACTAGATACAATCTGTCCTCAAAGAATTTTCTACTTAACATATAATAAATTAATAAGTGTCATGGAAGGATTACAGATAAATTATTAGAGGGATTCCAAGAGAGGAGAGGAGGTTACTTTCACTTGAATAGAATCAGGGAAAGATTCCTGGACCTGGTCTGTGAGCTAGCTTAAAAATGGGAAGGCTCGATAAATTTAGAGATTGAGGAAAGGAGTATTTTGGATGAAAGCACAGGATAAGCAGAGAAATGATTGGAGTATTTTGCCTAGAGTGTAAAGGATAGTCACTTACAGAGAGACAAGAGTTAAAGAAACTTTAAGGGTAAAGAAGGCCCGAACTTGCTTGTTTATTGAAAGGAAAGACCCAGTGGTCATTTATGGGACATATTATTTAAGAAGTCTGTTTTATATGCATAGAAAAAAGACTAGAAGGATATATGCTAATCGGTTACCAGTGGCTATCCCTAGTGGTGAGATTACAAGATTATTTGAGTTTTCTTCTTCATGCTCTTCTGCATTTAATTTTTTTTTTTTGACTTGTGTATTAAAATTTTTTGGACATATATTTTTATTCTGTAATTTTTCAATTTTATGCGAAGTGCTTTATAAGCACACTGTGGTGGTAGCTCATTCGCCAAGAACTCATCAGCTGAGAACCAGTTGATTCTCAGTTAAGGAAGCCTTCATCTAATATGTCATGCTGCCTCTCCTTTAATTAATTAAATAATTGATTGATTTTAGCCCTAGTGAGAATTTAAAACAAATTTGGTTTCATTTTGCATTTTAATATCTGCATTTTAGAGTTGACTAAATACCTCAAAACTTACTGTTCTTTTTCAGCTCTAAGGGATTTTTCTCAATCAGCTTTTTGTCACATAAATAGGTTTTACAGAAAGCGACACTTGTTGTTCAGAGTGAAGTGGACAGATGTGTAGATGACATAATGAAGGAAAAGAATATCAGCCCTGAGAAGGATGCCAGGTATGCTGTTTTCACAGTAATCTTTTTTATTGTGCACCTACATTCTGTGAATTTTAGAGATCACACACAGTTGTAAAACATTGGACAGGAAGGGGTTGTGGGGATCACCTCAGCCTGTCCTTTCACTTCAGTAGATGAGGAATTGAGGTCCAGAGAGGTGAGCGATGGGAGCAGAACCAAAACCTGTATCTCTTCGTTCCCAGTCCAGTGCTATTGCCAATTTACCATCTGCCTTCTTTAAGGTAACTTGCCATTACTTTCCCAAAGTTAAATAACTTCAGCTATTATATCCTGCTTGTTTTTCAAAATTCAGTTCCTCTGTCCTCCAGGAAGGTCATCCCTGGCTCCTCCAGGGTGAGTTAAGTGCCCATGCTCTGTCCTCTCTCAGAGCTCTCTGTCCCAGCATAACTCACTGTACTGTTATCATCGGTTAGCTCTTGTTCTTCCCCTAATAAATTCTAAATTCCATAAGAGAAGGAGTTGACTTATTCTGTATTTATGTTCCCAGTACCAGTACGTTGACTTAGTGTTTAGCGATATTTTTCTCTTTATTCAGCATTTTCTGTGTAAATACAGAGGAAGGAGCAATTTATTTTGGCTGGAACAGGGAAAGGTACAAGAGAGAACTGTGAGGATAGTTCCACAGAAGAGGTGACATTTGAGCTGGACCTTGTCGAGTGGGTAGGGGAAGACATGCCATGCAGAGGAAGTGTGCCAACAAGGCACAAAGTGCTTGGATATCTGGGAATGATGGAGAGTCCTTTGTACCTGGGGCTTTGAATTCATGCAGAGCGGAGGTCAGAGATGAGAGTGGAGCGCCTCACTGGAGGTACGCTGCAGGTCTCGCGTGCCCCACTGAGGGTTATAGGTGTCCTTTGGGTTTTTTGTGTTTGTTTTAGCAGACAAGCTACATTATCAGATACGTATTTTGAAGAAAATGGAGGATGGAGGGTAAATTTGCAGATGTGGAAGTCTAGTAGAAGGAATAAAGACACAGAGGAAATATTCAGGCACGAGATTACAAAGCCATAAATACATCAGGAATAATGAACATATGATGATTGCTTTGAGGGATATTTCAGAGACTTGGGGGACTTTTGATGTATCGTTGACGGGGAGAGGAAGGCGGGAACTCGGAGGGTTCTGGCTTGGGGGTCTTGTGATTAGCGAAGTCATCGATGGGCTTAGAGACTCCCTTAAGCACGTTTCCTCAGAGAAGACAAGCTGTTGTATTGGAGAGACCTGAGATAACCTGTCCTGGAGCTGTTTGTTATATAGGTACCTGAAAAATTAAGTCCATTGGTGACACCTGGCAATAAAGATTTGGGAATGTATGAGATTTCCCAGAGAGAGCTTGAAAAGAAGAGGACAAATCCTTGCAATTGCAAAGTTTGCTGTTTCTACGATCTCTTGTCCTCTTTCTAGGCCCTGTTTACATATCATATCCTATGTGATACTTTACATTTTGTGTTTAAGGAGGCCGTTGTTGCCTATAGTATTAAACTGAAATCCAAGAAATGGTTTCTAAATACCCACATGAGCCACAAGCTATGGAAGGCATTACTTTATTGTGCTAAGAAGATATTTTTAAAAAATAATAATTTTATCATTTTTAGTTTTAAAATCTGCATGAAGGCATGCTTACTGCAGATATCCGGTTATAAACAGCTCTATTTGGATGTCGAAAGTGTGAGGAAAAGGCCATATGATTCTGATAACCTGCAACATGAAAAGCTGCTTCTCAAGGTAAGTTTTATTTTCTGCATTTGGAGTTATTGAACACTGGAAAAAGAAATTAGACTTCAGCTGATAAGGTCTGTATGCAAATTCTCAAGGTTTATACAGCCATCCAGTTTTTTGCCCCTTGGAAAATTTTATGATGTTGGTGAAAGATTTTTAGTTAACTATTTTTATAATTTTCTGATAAGCATCATCCAAATATATTAAATGCATTTTATTTTAATGCTTTTAATTCTGAAATAGGTTATAAACATTTAAAGGGAGGTCCGTTAGTAATAAAAAAAAAGGGACCAGATAAAACCCAAACTAATTATTAGATTTAGCTTCAGGGCCAGAGGCCTGACTTTGTTTTAAAGCAAGGTCACAAGTCTTCACCTTTCATTTTAGGTAGCTGGACACTTTTTTTTAGCAGTCTTTTTCTCAAAATGCCTGAAATGGGCAAAAATGCAGATATTTCTGTTTTGCAAATTTCAAAAACATTCTTAGCAACTTTCGTTAAGTCTGTTTTGCTTGATGACTTGTGGTGTCAAATTTAGAAAATGGTTAAATTTTTTAAACTTTATTTCACATTGATTAATTTGTTACTGTCTAATACTTGATAGCTGTCTTATGTTATCTTATAGCCAACTGATTTTCAATCTTGGTCTTAAGGAATATATTTACTGAGTCACATTATTTTTTTTTTCTTTTAAAACCGAAAATTTGTAAAATAATGATCATATGGGTTGAAATACTTATCAGTATTATTTCGTCATGCTCCCCTCCCTGAGACCTATTTTCCTGCTCTGATTAGGGACTAATCACTCACAGAATAGAGCCTGCTTAAGTCTATAGTGTCTGTGGCAAGGGCCAAGTGCATAACACTGTTCTCAGTGGAGCAATTTACCAATTCTGGTGTATATTTATTCGTACTACTTAGAAAATAAAGCCACCTTATTGTTTTAGATTTTTGTGTATTTGTTACCATTTGAAAATTTATGTATTTCAGTCTTTTAAATTGGAATAAGTATAATATTATTTTTAGGATAATTGAGAAGTTCTCTAAACAGTGTTTGTCGAACTTGTGATTTGTCTGCAAAAGTTGTTTAATTGAAAGCATTCAACTTACTAGTCATATCAGCTAGGAGAAGGAAAATGTCTTTGTAAATTAGGGACATCACTATTATTTGTAATATGGAAGCATGTTTGTACAGCTTTGGGATCTTCTGATGCCCACGGAAAAGCTGAAGGCTAGAATCTCCAAGCAGTGGGCTGACATTGGTTTCCAGGGGGATGATCCCAAAACAGACTTCCGAGGCATGGGCATGCTTGGACTAATCAACCTTGTGTAAGTAAAAATAAACTTTCTTCTCTAAACAAAATTACATGTAACCCCCAGTCTAGTTTCATACTATTTCTGAATTTTCAGAGCTGCAATGCTAAAGGTATTTATTAAATTTACGATGTAATGACATTGGAGATATACTTGTGTGTGCATGTGTGTGTGATTTCTTTACCTTTCTTTTTCCTTTCTCTTCCTGGCCTCGCTCCTGATGCTCTTCAGGAGTTACTTACACTCCTTTCTTACTCTTTTTATCCTCTCGCCTCTTTTCTCTTGGCTCTCTGATTACATTTTGGGAAATGTAACCAGATAAGATGATAATGAAGTCCCTTCATTCTTATTCTTTGCCATATGTGGCAAGTGACCTAAATCCCTGAGTCAAAGGTTATATGGACTCTTTCCTTTTTCTTATTCTTGAGCACATGTATGAAAATAGGTAACTAAAATCAGAATTGATAGCACAACTGTTTTAGAAAGTAAACGAGAAGATTCCTTTCCTTCTATAAGGATAATCAAATGAATAGATTCTAGCATTCGGGTCTGTCCTTGAATTGTTTTATAGACTCTAAAATACCTAGATTGGGAAACCTAACCATTCAAAAAGTTTGGATAGCTACTGTGAAAAAAATGGGTCCTGAAATTGAGCTAAATTATGTTAATATTGAAGAAAAATATATCTAGGTCAATATGGATAAAGCTGTTTTGGGGGAAAATAGAAGACACAGAGGGTTTCAATATATATATATTTTTTCCAGTTACCAAAATACTTAATTTTCTGTATTATCTAAATTCGATGAGTATGAAAGTACCTATAAGTCTTCATCTCAGAGATAAGCAAAACACAGTAGTCTTAAAAATAATAATAATTACAAAAAATGCAATTGCTAGTTTAACGCTTTGGAATTTCTATTTGGAATTTATGTAGAATAAATATACTCTATCTCCACTTGGAAAAATTATTAAATATTTTAAAATGTATACTTTGGAATTTCTATTTGGAATTTATGTAGAATGAATGTACTCTATCTCCACTTGAGCTAATTTTGTTTTTAATCATTTCTAGTACATCAATGGCAATCAAATAATTATTAATACATATATGTGAATCTTGGTCATTTTTCAAATTAGTAGATACTAATCTAAATAGAGTAAAAATATCTGTAAATCATTTAAAGATCTATCAGAATCCCTTACTACCATCTTCAATCAAATCCTATTAAATTGTTTAAATTTTAAGTGTAATTAAATTCTTAATTACACTTCATTATCATCTTATCTGGTTACATTTCATCTAAATGTAATCAGAGAGCCACTTGGAAAAATTATTAAATATTTTAAAATGTATTATTTTTTAGAACACATGAATTTTCTGTTTTTATTCTTTAAAGACCATCTTTCTTCCTGGTGCTAGTAAGCTACGCGAATATGTGAACCGACTCACCCGCAGATATACACTATTCTGGTATTTCCTTAACTTTTTCTGAGTAACCTTGCTTATGACTCTTTTCCTCAGAAATCAAGATTTTTCAGCATTTGCAAGAAGAGAGTTTAATTATGCTTAAAATTTAAATAATTTAATAGGATTTGACTGGAGATGGTAGTAAGGGATTCTGATAGACCTTTAAATGATTTACAGATATTTTTACTCTATTTAGATTAGTATCTACTAATTTGAAAAATGACCAAGATTCACATATATGTATTAATAATTATTTGATTGCCATTGATGTACTAGAAATGATTAAAAACAAAATTAGCTCTAATTCCTCTACAGTCATGTTTGTTGTCCTGTGTATGGACCTATGACACTTCAGGATCAAAATAAACATACAGTCAGGAAGTAGGTAAGCTTCATGTAATTAAAAAGACTTTCTTGGCCTTCGTCATCTAATCTCTTGAGACGTTTTATTGCTTTGAAGGATAGCTGGTGGTTTGATAGATAATGATGCTTTAGGTAAATGAATACTGAAGCAGGTGTAGACGAAGAGAGGATATTGTACAGGGAAAGAATTCAGAGACTAAACAAATCTACATAGATAAGGAAGCAGAAGTAGAAAAGTAGAAGAATGTACAAGTTAAAGCCAAAAATGTATGTAGGAAGGGAGAGAGGAAGGGAGGGAGGGAGGAAGGGAGTGAGGGAGGGATGGAGGGATGGAGGGAGGGAGGGAAGAAGGAAAGGAGAAACTCAGAGCAGTATATAAAAAGAAATAGTTTTCCTTATTTGCATAGATGTTAATATATTTCTTAGATACTGTTAAGGTGGGACTGACTAAATAAGTTCAGCAAAGAAATTAAAAGTTGCTCCGTGTAACAGATTGAATATTTTGAGAGTAGCTGGATTATTGAAAAACTAATATAATACCAAATTGTATTAAGAGTATTATGTTAAAAATGAAATAGAAATATAAATACTAAGGACATTTTAGAGCCAGCAGAGGGATAAAGTAGATAAATTAGAGTATTTAAGGAAAGCATTGTGCTCAGGACTTTTTCCTGTTTGGGGATTTACAGATCTCTTTTGAGAATCTGATGAAAGCTTTGTGTATTTTCTCCCCAGAAAATGTACACACAGAATAATTTTTGCATAATTTAAGGCGCTTCATGGGTCCCCTTTCATGCATGGATGATCTTTCATTCATGGACTTCTGAGTTAACAACCTCTGTTTTATGAGTTGAAAATCAGAGCCAGTGAAGGAAAATGGAAGAAAAATGAATCCACAGAAGGAAAAATAGGGAGGAAGATTTGGTTAGAAATGTGTATGCTTTATGAAAATTTCAGTGATTATGCCTTCTAAAATTTAAATAAACCTTGCAAATCCATTTTTATTCTATTTTTTATCCTCACATAAACATCCAGCCATATATATATGAACTAGTGCATTATGAGATGATCCAAAGGTTGAACAGATTGGATTCCTTCGAGAACTCAGAGAGGTCGCATGAGTACAAGCCAACGGAATGTATGAGCCTACAAAGAGATAGCTTTAGCAGACCTCTCTGTTTTGTGGCCAGTGTTTTAGTTAGATCACTGATCAAGAGAGTTTTTTCAATGCAAAAGGAAGGCTATTGACTTTCTTCTGATTGCACTGAAAATGACATTAAATGATACAGACTTGAGTTACAATAGAAGGAATGAGCCTAGTTGAAAGGAAGAGTGCCCCAATGGGTACACATTGACTATTTTATAGGAATTTAGAACAAATAAACAGAAGAACTCTATTTTGTTTTTGTTTGTTTGTTTGTTTAAGGTGGGTAGAAAGTCTCTTGTTAAATCATTTATTTGTTAAAATACTTTAATTCTTACCAAGGGTTCATACTAGATAGGCGTGATAGCTCAGAATTAAATTTTGATCAGAAGCATTTCTGAGTAACTGAAATGATTTGAGATGAAGATCAGGATTTTTGTACCAGGACTATCATTTTGACAGCTTTTTAAATTGCTTCTGGATCTCTTCAGTTTGAATGACATATGTTAATTTAATTATTTTTCTTAAACTTTTAAAGATATTTCAGTGAAAATTACACCAGTGAAGCTCATCAGATTCTTTCCCGTTCAAATCATCCAAAACTAGGGTAAGCTGGATGTATTAAAGAAACTAATTTGAGTTGAATTTAAGTTGATTAGATGATCTGAATTTGAAAATATTCAAGGTGTTTTTTAAATGAAATTATTTTAATTAATAAGAACATAAAGGATATTGAATGTTATATTACTTTTAAAGCTAAATGTGATCATAAACCAATTTTGTATGTCAGTAGATTTTATCACAAGATATAATTTATCTATAAAGTGGAAGTATGGACCTTTATAAAAATTTTTGAGATTTGAAAATAGGAGTAGGAAGTAGCTTTGGAATAGGAATGGGAAAATGAGAAATAGCTTTGAAAATTGTGAAGTGAAATGCAAAATGAGGTAATAATATTAGGTTTGTCATTATTATTTTATTTTTATATTCCAGTGATAACTATCTTTGAAAAAACATTATAACAGTATTACATTATAAAAATAAATACCCTCATAACGGAAGAGAAAATGTCAAATTAGCCAACATATTTTAGAAGTCACTGAGAACATACGTAGTACTCCTTTTAATTTTTTTTAGGATTTTGGATTTAGACATTAATGTGAACAGACTTTTATTTTTATTTCTTAGATTTTATTTCTTAGATTATATCCAGAAAATCAGATAGCCTCTAAAGAACATTTTTTAAAAAATCTATTCTGGTTTATTTTTCTTAATATATAGAGAAGATTGTAAAATCAATATTGTGTTAGAAGTGGATCAAAGTAACTTTTTTCTAATTCTTTGCATAATTTTAAATTTATGTTTGGCTAGCTGGTATAACTGGTACTGTTTCTGACATAGGTATTCTTATGCAATAGTTGGAATCAATCTGACAGAGATGGCTTATAGCTTGCTGAAGAGCGAAGCTTTAAAGCTTCATCTCTACAACTTTGTTCCTGGTGTCCCGACAATGGAACACTTCCACCAGTTCTACTGTGAGTATTAAAAGGAGTGAAAACTGGATATTTTTAAGAGAGTTTTTAAATCATTAGGAAAGTGTATTATATGATGCCTCTATCACGCATATGACTTATGCTTGTCATTTTATTGTTTAGGATCTTTGGGAAAATGGAAAATAATGGAAGATGGATTCCCAAGAGTTTTTCGTACTTCGGTTTCTATATTTGCTGATTAAAAAGATTCAATGAGGCAGTTTTGTTTTTTTTTTAACATTGATGCAAATTTCGTAGTCATGCATGCCGTTTTTCTGTAGGGATCCATTTTCCATTCAACTATGAAATGAATTTTCTCTCTTGAATACTGGTTAGTGAATGCTGCTGAGTCAAAGACAGACCATTTAGAGATTATTCTGTTACTCTTGTAAGGAAATTTAATTTAGAGGAACTCTGTACCCCTCCTTTAGTTCAAGACCAGGTTTTCTTGTGTTGGGTCGGGGCTACTTGATAACTGTTCCAGTCATTGTCACCACCATGAACTTTGTCATTCCATTAACTTTTCTCGGGATGGTATTCGAACACTGAAGTTTTAACTGGAGGAACCCATTTTCTGAGGCTACTGCTAAGAAGTAAAGAATTCAAATTTAGCTTAGCTTTTATACTGCTCTTGATCTTTTTCTGTCTTTAGAATGTCAGTTGCATGTTGAGAGGATACAGGAAACTACTTAGATAATAAATGGCCAAATCATAACTTCTGCAACTCCATGATCGAAGGTGTCATCCAGGTCTCTTTTTCCCATACTGTCCCGTTTTTACTTAATCCTTAATTCCAGGTTCGTCTGCTTCCCGAATTTCTCTTGCGTCGGTCTACTTTTTCCCATCCCCCTTATATCTGCCCGACCTCGGGCCCTCGTTACTAGGTTACTGTAATCGGCCTTTCACCAGTCTTTCTATGATGACCTTCTTCCGCTTCTCCGCATTGAGGGTATAGTTGTTTAGAATGAAAATCTAGTCATTCTACTCCACAGCCTAAAATTCTCCAAAAGCTCCCATGACAAGGCCCGGTGTAATCCATACCTTGAAAACCCCTCCAGACTCATCTTTTGCCGCACACCAACTCCCCACGGTCTAAAATTTAGGCTCACTGGTCTTCTTTTAGTTGCGCAAATATATCATGGTCTCTTACTATTCTATATTCTAGATCTTTCATCCAGCCAGGAACACCATTCCCGCTCCCTCTGTTCCTTTCCAGGTGACACCTACTCATCTTTCAAATCTCAGTTTAGATGTGACCTTCTCTGGGAAGTCTTGTCAGAGACTTTGTTCCTTCAGTTATCCATTTTTCTCTCTATTACTCATCTTTCCTTCTCTGTTGTAGTTTTTCTGTCATACTATAGATCTGCTCTCTATCTCCCATTCATTCATTCCCTTGCTCTCTGGCAGATACTGTTGTAGGCACTGGAGATACAGCAGAGAATAAGGCAAAGTCTCTGCGTTTGGGGAGATTTTATTTTCAAAAACAAAACTTTCCTTCAGTGTAGTGTCCACCTCCAGATGTCACTTGATTTACCTGCAATTCTTCAACATAAAACTTCTGAAATAAGTGCTATTTCCATTTCCTTGCCTTCCATTTTTTTCTAACTCGTTTCTCTCCCTGCTGCTCTGCTGAAACTGGATTTTTCAAAGATGCAATCTTTTTTTGTTGCCTAATCCACTTGTCATGTTTTTTTTCTTCGTATTACTGCATCCTTTTAACAGCATGAGGCATTAATGGCCATGCCTTTCTTCTTGAAACGTCATCTGGGTTTTCCTGATGCCACACTCTCTGGCTTTTCTCCTCCCCGACTGGCGTTTCCGTAAACTTTATTGCTGACTCCTCATCCACCACCTTACGAATGTGGGAGCCCCTCTGAGCCCAGCCCTGGGCCCACTTCTCTCTAGCCTTCATCCTCTCCCCCGAGTCATCTGATCCCATTCCCTGTTTGATATACCGTCTGTGTACTAGCGATACCAAAATGTATGTCTTCAGCCCACCCTCCCTCTGTAGCTCTGGCATTTGTGCGTCTAGACTTCTTTTTTTATTGGATAAGGATAACAGATCTTATGGGGATGGTTACACAAAGCAGGAGCCCATGTGACATGTTTTCAGATGGAGGGACAGGTTTTTCACATCCCCAGGACTACCATTGATTCTACCTGGGTAGGCTGAAGATCCTGGCAGGTGTGAGATGCTTTTCTATTATTGTTCCAAAGTTGTCATTGGTGTTTTACTTAGATAGATACCCTTCCAGCCCGTCCTGACTTTATTGGGGGGTTGCTGCTCCTGGATATAAACGATGAAACTGGGTCAAAATAGCCCCAGTATATCTCTCCCTTAGAGACTGAGACTGTGTCTGTTTACTGTGAGCTGACAAGAGCCCCTTGCCCTCAACCTGCCTTAGCTCAGACTCAGCCAGTTTCCTTTTTTAGGTGTTAGGCATTTTGAACAGGTTTCATCCAAATAATCTTCTTCCTCCTCCCTATTCTCCAGTTCTTTTCTCTCATTTTATTGCTGGGGAACCATTCCCTCCCCCTCACTCCACCCAACCAGTCTTGTTCGATTTCCTCTCCTAAATCTCTCATTGACTCTTAGCATAGGGCCCAAGCTCCTAGGACTTTGCTAACTTCTGCTGATATTTGTTTTATGAATTATGCTTATTTAATGCTGCCCCTTGAACATAGAACAAATATAAAAAGAAACAGCCAACCCCTTCCCAAATTAAGCAGTTTGCCACATTTAAGTAAATACGGGAATGTGATGAGTAGGAAAGCAAAATCACCTCTGGCCTGGGCTGTTCCCCCAAAGACGGCCACTTGAGCATCTTCGGCTGCTGTCAGCCCCATGCCCTCAACACCATCGTCTTTTTAGCTCCTGTGTAGGCAGAGCATCAGAGTCACAGCTGAAGTGACAAAAGTCATTATACCTTGAATCCAAGGAGGGTTCAGGGGTGGTTTTAAATTCACTTTTTTTGGCTACAAATATAGCTATTTTAATGTTTATTTTCATTAAATACTTTTAACATTTTGAGAGTTCGTTTGGCTACTGTAATAAAGATACTGAAAAATAAAAACGTTAAGCCTATTTAGTGTTTTATATGTTCTTTTAAAAAAATAAAAGTGTTGATAGTTCACTGAGAACAGTAGAAATTTATAAATCAAATAAAAAACAACTTTCCTGTAATTTATCCTTGTCCAGCACTTTCTCGTTAGTTCCATTTTTTTGTTTCAGGGGTCTTTGGGGATAACTTTTTTCCCTTAGTTTCAAGGTATCTTTTGACAGTGTTATATCTCTTAAGTTTAAGGGATTTTATTGATTTTTGAGATGAAAATGTACACTAAATATTTTATTAAAATTGCTGTTTATTTCGAACATATAAAAATATTTCTTATAAAGTTCCTCAGGTTTCTCAGAGTTTTAGATGATCTCTGGTTATTCTATCCTAATGTGGAATTTGAAGGATGGTTATATGCTTTGAAAATGAGATGGTTTGGATATGATATCACTGTTGAACACTCTATTTATATTTGATTTTTCTTTAACTGCAGGTTACCTCGTCTATGAGTTTGACAAGTTTTGGTTTGAAGAAAAGCCAGAAAGCATTATGTATTTCAACATATATAGAGAGAAGTTTCATGAAAAGATTAAAGGACTCTTACTGGATTGTAATGTATCACTTACTTTAAACATATGAATCATACCTAGTATCTTCTATTTCTACCACATTTTGCACACACGACAGAATTTATATGTTGTAATAGAAATTATCTGATCAATGACACTGCTTATATATACTTTCCTACAGAAATAGTTCAGAAATTCTATTTAAGAAAGCTAGCGGACAATCAGTGTATGTTTACAGTCGTCTGTACACTGTCCTCCAAAGGCACCGTGACCTTCCAAAGAGCCCTCGAGAGAGCCGTGTGGACTCCAGTTTGGAACTTGGGATTTAGCCTGTTTAGTATAAAAGTACCAATCAGGTATTCGTATTAAATTGGTTGATTAAAATGTGTAAAAATCAGTTTTCGCTTTTATGTGTTGTAACTTTCAAGTTGGTATCTTTGCGAAGCTCTTAAGTATTTTTGTTTTCGAGTTTAGAAATGATCGCTCTTTATTTTCTTTCTCTTGTTTTATGCGTAAGTTAATTAACAGGGAGAATAGTTCTTTGTGACTGTCTTTGCGTCTCAGTCACACGTCAGCGTTGCTTCAGTGCGAGCATAGGTGCGTCAGAGATCGGAGGATCATGGCCTTGTGGATCTCTCCGATTATTCAGCGTAATAGATAATAAGAGAATGACAGTATTGGTGACTAGCTTTTTTTGTTATTTTAAAGCTTAAGGACATTTTCTTATTTTCGATATTTGCTTTCTGTCACTTATAGAAAAGAACCTTAGTTAGTGCTTGGTGTGAGAGCTTTTTTGGGGGCTTCTCTACTTGCATGTGTTTATGGAAAGAGATATTTGCTAAGAAGATCTTGATTGTATTCAAAGGACAGTTGTTTCAATAAAGCTGTCTTTGAACTCGAGCAAGAAGAAAACATAAAGCTTTTTAAAAGTCTCCATTAAACATCGCTGGTTTATTTTACTTACCATTAACTCTCACCTCCCTGGTGTTTCCGGATGGAGATGTGTGGACTTTGTGGATATTCTCCGAGCTAACAATCTGTGGGATGCTGAAGCAGCCTGAGGGTGATGATTGTGCATTTTGTATGGTTTTATTCTCCCAAAGTCTCAGGAAGGCAGCAAGTATGTCAAGGATTATATAGTGATGAGAGTCCAATGGGAACAATTTCTTCTTTGTGTGTTTTAGACATTTGTACTCATGGCAGAATTAAGAAAGTTTAAAGATAGGTTCATCTGATTACTAAGTTCTCTCTAAATCCCACGGAAACCAGCCTGTTAAAGACATAATTTAATCTAAAACATGAAGATAGCTGGTAATCTTTTAACATGGCATGTATCGGGTGTTTAAGGACTAGCTCTTATGTGATGTATCAAGACCTGAGACTTTGAAGTATTTATTCATTTTTGTTGACAAAGCTCTTCAAACTTGCAAAGAATGGTAAAAGAAAAAAAAATCTGATTGGAAAATAACAGATGCAGTGTTGCTATGCAGTGTTGATAGATTAAAAGCGCCTGCATTAAAAGTATGATTTTCTCAATAAGATAAAACTGTTTTTAAAATTGGGTTCATTTTATTCCAATAGTGGCAGTTTAGCTATCCAGTATTATATCAATTTAGAAATTGGTTTCTTGTAGGGGAGTTCTCAACCTTGGGAGTATCTTAGCCTAATTTTTAAAAGTATTTTTAATGCTTTATCATCCAGCTGGAGTTCTATGAGAAGTAGCAAAATCCTGATAAAGATCAAGTGTTAACTATTAAAGTTCATTTTATCAAGGTGTTTACTATTACCTGGAAAATAATCCTGTTAGTCTTTTAATTTTTGTGCTGAAAATACTCATCTTTATATTTTGATCTTTCAACAGCTGAGATATTGAACTGATTTAAACCTGTCAGTATGCTTAATAAAACAATGACTCAAGTATGGAAATGGACACTTTTTAAATAATTTTTTCTCTTTCTAGGGAGGAAAAAAAATCTTTTTAATAATATTTTTAAAATATCATTAGAATGTTTGCTCACTAATATGTTCTTTAAACCCACCTCTGTTTGTACAATATAGATGTTGTTCTGTTTTTGCTGAAAATAATCACTAACTGTTTCAGATAGTTCGATAGTGAATTGGTCTAAAAGCCACCAACAAATTCTAAGGATTGATAGCTTGGAAGCCAAGCTAAGTGTCACCAGTTGTAAATTAGTATGTAACGTGAGCCTTCTGACTTTTATGTGATAAGCGACATAGATGAAAAGAAAAATGTGATAATTGTATCTGCTTTCCTACTTTTCCTTGCTTTCAACATATGTATGTTAGAATTTTATGTAGTCTTAAAATCCATATTTAGAATCTTACCTTTTTCTATAGTAATAACTACCAGAGTAGCAATAGAACGAAGTAGTGGGAGAATTATCTTTGTTTTAGCATCAAAAAAGTGAATCAGCGTTGAAATGAATTTTTGTGTGTGCCAGATTAAAGAGAGTGTGCCAGTGACAAGAATGGTCTAAAAATATAAGTACGGTGGTTGTAGTTCAAATATGTTCCGAAAGACAATCTTTAAAGAATGGGAGAAATCAGGGGATATCAATATGGTGGTAGAGTTAGATATACAAATCAGTGTCTTACTGGCACCAGTTACGCTTTAGAAAACAGAATCTTTTTTCTTGAAAATGCCCATCCTGATTTCTATTTAAGAGCTACTTGGATTTGTATGTATTTTTCTATGTGAAAATATGTGTACTCTTCATTCTTATTCCAACGTTCATAATTGTTTTATGTACCATTTCTCTCCTTTGCGTTCGGTCAGATAGAACTTGGTCAAATATCTGCTCAAAGGAGCAGCATTGCACGAGTGTGTAAAGTGGAAAGCTCGAGCGAGAGCAGAGAAGATGGCTCATTGTCCTGGCACAGAAGAGGAGAGGTTTGGCTCTGAGGGCAACTATCCTTGTTTACTGTCCTTCTTGAATTACTGATGGGGGAGCAACAGTGATTTTCTCAGGATAAATGGTCTACCCACCTTCTCTATGAATAAGTCTGGGGAGGCTTAATTTAATTTTCACATATATGAACCTCTTCGCATCAGCAATTTGTTCATGAAAATTCATGGAATTGTTAAGAATCTGAGAGAAATCATGAGTGAGCTTTTTTCTTTTCCCCCTAGCTTCAGCTTTTGACAAGAAAAATTTTAAATGTAATGCAGGTAAGACCCAACTATTGCGTTACTATGAGAGGGTGATTCTATGTTTGAATACTGTTCAGATATTCAAAAACTATTTAAGCGATAGCTTTTCTGGTGGAAAAAGTGCTGGTTGACAACCTAAAGAAATAGATTTTTATCTACTTCGGATAAAGCAATTAACTTCTTATGTAAAAGCAATAGCTGAAATGTGATGTCGTTTTGTTGGGAATGTTGTGAGCAAATAAAAAACACGTTCAAACTGTTGTGAGCCTTTCTGTTAATACTTCTGCTCTCTTCCGTGCTCCCCATCCCTTGTTTAAGTCATTTACGTTCATGAAACAGTGCTTTTCTTACTTAATCCTTTAATCATGTTTCTATAGAGTAAATCAGAATATACAGAATGTGTGTGTGTGACTTTAACTCATCTACTGATTACCTATTTAATATGTTATTGGATAAGAACCATTGGGCTTCCTGGCCTTTCTGCTGCCATTCCTTGTTTTCAGCTCTTGTAATTCATTTAATCTCTTGTTTATTCTTTCCCGATTTCTTCTGCACTCAGTTCATAGGCATGAAAAAGATTACTCCAGGTGTTAATGACAAACGTGGCTTTGCTGCGTAGAGGCCCTGAAGATTCATTTTCATTTCAGTCTGTTTCTCTGTCTTCTAGCTCTAAAATTCTGTGATTCTAGCATAGATACCATCATTCTAATAACAACAAAGCCCAAATGAAGGTAGTGTCTTAGAACTCGTTATATGTGCCGTAAAATATAGGCTAAAAGTTAAAAATCCGTACCGATAGCGTTTAAAGGAAGTTTATGCCTATTAATTGTAAAGACTTGCACTTGCTGTCGGGCAGGTCTGTGCTCCAGGTGAACTTCAGCTCTTACATTTGACATAGATCCAAAAAAACAAACTTTAGAAGATATTAGCAATATTTATTGAATATATTTTAACTGATATCTGGGTTAATAAAAACTAATATTTTCTTTGATAACTGCTCATCTTAAAGTATAAAGTACATTTCACTCGGTTTTCCTTTTCTGTCAGTTTGAATTATAATTAAGACATGTTAAAGTTTTTCAAATTCAATTCTAAACCACCCCCATACCACCACCAAACACACAAAATGGTCAATCAAATGCAATAACTTAATCTGGATGTTACATTTGCCAGAATGAACACTGTATGTCTCCCTTTCCCCTCCTTAAAACACAGAATAAAAGTCACAAGAAACAACAGGTTTTAGTTTTCCTTCGGAAAAAAAGAACAGTTCAAAATTCTCTACTCTACCCGAATTCCTTTATCTTTTTTAGGGTGAAATAAAGTGAAGAGTGTTTTGTTCATTTGTTCGTTGTTTTTAATTATCCAGTTGGCAAAGACTCGCACTGGTATGTTGCATCCTTTTCCTAAAGGTGATTAATTATGTGGCACAGTCCACGGTCTGCCGCGACCTCGTCAGCTCTCTTTTCAGCTGTTCAAAGCACACGAACATGACGACGTTCCAGGATCCGAGTCGCAGGAAGGCAGGTACTAATCTAGAAAAGTACACATCACCGTTCTATTAGTTTGCTTGCCATTCTCAAAGCAATTACAACACAGGCAGTTTTATGCTTTGCATTTCGTCACTCTTCTCAGATGAAGATGCTTAAAAATACCCGTTCTTCATCTATCCCTCCTCTGCCTAAAGTGAAGTTTCATCTAGATGTCTTACACTGCTTCAAAACAAAACCCAGACGACACATTCCTACCAAACCAAAGCTTGTCTCCTCGGTTTTCATGGCCTTTTTTTTGAGGGGAGGGAATATTTTTGTTTTGTTTCGCTTTGCTTTCTGAACAGGAAGCAGGAAACTATTGAAAGAAGAAGAGGAGGAAAATCAAAGAAGTAATAAATGAGTAGACCATTTTCCAGAGTCAAGAAATTAGTGCTGTCTAGCTCTTGGCAATTCTTGTTTTCAGATTGTCAAGGGTCTTAGTGCATTTTTTGGTTTGTTTTTGTTCTGTTTTTTGGTGTTTTCGTTGTTATTTTTAAAATTCTGCCAAACTGTACAGACCAAATGATTGATTTTGAATGCCTGTTTGTAGCAATGAAATATTGCAGGAGAAAAAGATGTCATGAGTCAAATCTGCCTTGGATACATTTTTAAAAGAGATCTGTCCTGTAAAAACCATGGGGAGGTCTCTTAACACATTTCTCCTGACTCCTGAATGTGTACATGTGTGTGCGTGTGTGTGTTTTAATTATAGTAAAATATCCATAACATAAACTTACCATGTTAACCATCTTAAGTTGTAATTCGGTAGCATTAAATTCACTGTGTACAACCACCACTATTATCCGTCCCCAGAATCTTTCCACCAATCCAAACGAACTGCACTCATTATAAAATAACCCCACTACACCCTCCGCTCAGCCCCTGATAACCACCATTCTGCCTCTAGGTCTCCGTGAATTTGACTATTCTAGGTACCTCAGATAAGTAGAATCATACAATATGTGTCTTTCCGTACGTGGCTCATTTTATTTAGCATAATATTTTCAGGGTTCATCCTTGTCGTAGCACATATTCACCCAAAAGGTTTTAACTTTGAAAAAAGTTACTGTTAAATGGCTAATAATAATAACTGATAATCTATTTCAAGTTAATTTTACAATATATTTCATTTATATTAATGTGTCATAAATGCAGGTTATGGTAAATTGGACCATTTTATATAATGAGCATGGTGCATTTATGTTTATAAGGGTTGAGACACTACCTTACAATTTTTAAAGGTTATAGAATTTTGTTAGTTTACTGCTAGTGGAATCCTTGTTGAGTATATCTGTAAATTAGTTGACACTATATTTTTTAGGGAGGAAGTTCCAACATAATATAATATTGCTTTATGGAAAAATGTGATCCACTAGACGGTACTAATTTCTAGGTGGGTATGATAATCAAACCACATCATTTCCTGCATCACTTTTCTAGATCGATGACAATGATTTTCCCCTAGTTTTGCTTTAATACAATCTAAAAACCTGAGTCATTAAAATAGTAAAAGGCAAATCTTGTTTTCCCATAGCCTTCTATTATGCTTTCTATTCACTTTATAGTTCTCCTGCCCCGAGAAATTAACATACTGTCTCTATTTCTAATAGATCGGGACCAAGGGAAAGGTCACTGATTTTGAACGAGCCTCTGGTCAAGGTTGAGAAAATCAATACTCCTGCATAGTGGAGCTGGTGGATTGGAGCAATATATGGCAAGGAAACACTAACTATATCTGGCCAGCTACCTGTCAGTCGTTTAGATAAAACAGTGTCCCAAAGCACACCGTGCCCCTGAGCACACGCTACACACGGACGATCTCGGCTTACCCTTTGAAAAACGCCGACGGTCCTTCCTTAGTGAGCATTGTCATCGCGCAGTTGGGCATGCTTGTGTACTGTCCTGGTGGAGAGTTGATGAACCTGGTTTTCACCACATCCACTGGAGAGGACAGAACCGTTGCGCAAAATCCGGCGATGATGGCCGACACGACGTGGCAGGGTACGTCGTCTAAAATCAATCAATGAAACATCAGACTTTTGGGAGGGGCTGCTAGTTTTTCGTTATCTAGCAGATCCTCATGAACCTGTTGATAACAGGAGGTCAATGTGGCTGTCTTACAAATAAGTAAAATAAAATAAGATTATACTTACACTTGAAAAAGATGGCAAATAGTACATGGCATAGTGGATTGTAAGTGTTTTAGGAAAATATCCTGTCAGTTTTCTCTATGCCGTTAGGGTATGGCATAATGCCTGATACATGATATGTAGGCATCTAATACTTTTTTTTTATTAAAGTCATTGCCCGAGGAGAATTTCAGTGTCTCTAGAACCTGTTAGAATAGTAGTTTTAGGAACCTATCTAGTGGAATTACATTTGGATGAACTCCTATAACTAGCTTCTTTGGATACAACGGCAGGATGGACTCATCTGAATCCTGCTGGGTAAAGAATAAGATGCTAACAAAAGTCCCACGTGTTTGTATTAAATGAGAAAAATGCTGTCGTAAGAATACAATTGCAGTTTGTTTTTGTTGCCAAAAAAAAAAAAAAAAAAAAAGCGTTGCAGCAAAACTAAAATTTGCTTCTCAAAAGCTATATCTAATGTTCAAAATTGCTTAATTTTTTAAAGGGAAAACGATTACAATGAAGTGATTCTAGAAAAGCTCCAGAATGAAACTGTAAATGTATAGACTGTTATAAAATATAGAAAATTAGTTACCTGCTAGTAGTTTGTTTTTCACAAGGGCTTCCTTCATTAGGTCGTACGTTACTAGCTCTGTACAATTGATGATGATACTTCTTAACAGATTGAGAGTAGTCCCTGGGGGAAAAAAAAAAGAAAGAAAATGTCTAATAGCTCTGTTATATGATAGGGTGCTAATTGCATATAAGGATTTTAATGACTTTAAAATCCACCTTGAAGTTAGTTACCTTTCCAAAGACCTGTCAAGCCTTCCGTTGTTGCTATAATTCTGTAAGCATTGTAGGTCCCAGTGTAGCGAGGTTTGAGGCCATGTAGATGGCTCTGTGCTTGAAGTCTGACCTTCACGACCTCTGTGGGCTGCCCAATGAATACTGCCACTGCTCCAGTTGTTAGGCCAGCTGAGATCTTGCTTCCTAAACTGGCTGTTGCCACAGAGAAGAAAATTTTAAAAAAGAAAAAAAGAAGTCAAGACCCAGAATGCATCTATATGTCTTTTTAATTTTAGTGGTTAGTATTATTGTATCTTTATGTTTGTGCATGTGTCGATCAGGTACTAAATATGTGCCAAATCATAGTAGGGCTAGACTACAAAGCTGATTGAAATTTTTTAAAATGAAGACTTTCAAGAAAAAAGAAAACACGATGCCTGTTTAAATAGTGGCTTCGTTCTTTCCTATTTTTAGCTCTTTTTTTTTTTTTTAAATATTTCCGAACTGAGAGGAGGCACCAGTTCACAGATTGCTATTTGCCTGCTCATTTGTTAGAAAGACCAGAACCTCGCGTGTAACATTTTTTGAGCAGAGCCGGGCCCAGGGCATGTCGCTGGCTGTCCGGTCCTCCCAAGAGCACTCATGGCTTACTTTCTTTCCCCGAGGCGAAGAATTCCTGGCAGGTGTCATAGAGCCCGATCCGAAGGGAGGCAGAGCTTATTTGTCTTTGGAGGCCAGCAGGCAGCCCGCCGTAGAGCTTCATGGTCCCTTCTGTTCTGGCCAGAGTGGTGATGGTTCCCAGGACGCCTTTATACCTGATGGCACTAGAGGTCTGGCATTCACCTTGGATCTGGAAAGGAGAAAGATACAGGTCAGAGGGGAGTGAAAATTGAGTCGGGGGTCCTACCTGGTGAAGAAAAAAAAAAAAAACCACTGGTACCAGGCTGTCCTCCGTGGAGAAACCTTAAGCCAAGATTTTTCCCACTGTGTTCCTATTTTCAGTTCCTTTTCTCAGCAACATCTCCCGTATGTATGTATGTATGTATGTATGTATGTATGTATGTATGTATATATGTATGTATGTATGTATTGCTACATATATGTGGAGAGACTAGCTACAGTGCGCATTTTGAACCCCCACCACCACAGGAACTCTCCAGAACCCCCAAAGCAGTAGGATGGGAAGGAACCCCCCGCTGAATCATAGAAGGAGAAACAGCCTGGCTTGCAAAGTCGAGAGAGGCTGATATTCTTAGCTCTTAGGACATTTCGTGCACCCTAACTCTGGGAGATTTGACAGCAGTCCTGGTCATACCCATCCTCCGTGGCCCTTGTGGCTCTTCGGTCAATCTGGGGGAAGTCCCAGTATCCATCCTAAGGCATGCAGTCCTGCGGTGAGGCCAGACTGGTTTTTAAGGTGGCCACCTGCCCTGCCTACCTGAGGCAGGCGGTTATACCCAAGCCGGAGTCGGAGGAGCGCCCACCGCAGGAGTTCGCCCTGCGCCCCGAGACGCCCTCCACCCCAGTCTCGCTGGCTACCTGGAGCCGGACTTTGGCTGTGTCCAGCGGGAAGGTGATCGCATCTGCCACACAGGCTGCCACTCCGGCGGAGAAGATCTTGACCGCCATGGTCGGGTGCACGTCCGAGGTCGTGGGGCCCATCATCCTCACTCAGGTTGCGGAGCGAGGCGACGGCGTCGAGGGAGAAGGGCTGCAGCCCCAAGGGTGGCGGTTCTGTCTGCCTCTTCTCTCTCCCGTCGGCGGGAGCTGCAGACCCGCTCTCTCCGCCCCGCAGGAGGCGGGGGCCGCCGGCAGCCTCGGAGGTCCACGGGCCCAGGGGGCAGGAGGGGCGCAGGAGTGGGGCCGAGCGTGGCGGCGCCTCCTGCTCCACCCGCGCGCGCCAGGAGCACCCGCTGCGCCCAGGCTGGCAGCGCCGCGCCACATCCTTGAATAGACCAGGTAGCTGGGTGGTGTAAGGATTAGGAAGCTTCCCCTGAACTCAGCACTTTTAGGGGGCGTGCCCTGGGCGCTGGGTCCCTCCCACCCGCATCCTCGCTTGGCGCCTGGAGAGCCGCCCTTCACCCCAAAAGCACTCGCTGCGCACCTAGACGTCTGCGCCCTGCGCTCAGCTCCTCAGGGAGGGCTCACAGCGGCCAGCACCCCCACACCCAGGCTTCTGTCACCCTCCCCCCCACGCCCCGCCTGGGCTGCGCCCTGGGCTGGGCAGGGAGAAGACCGGGGCTCCCCCAAACAAGCGCGACCTCAGTGATCCTAGTACAAGGTCCTGCCAAGCCAGAGCCCTCCAAGGCAAGAGTGTGGCGCTCCTCCCTCTGACTCCCCAGGAACCTTGCAGGAAACCATCTAGGACCCCCTTTCCTGTCCTTTGAACTTATCCTCCACACCCTGAACTTTTAAACGAAATAAGATTTCGTTTGAGCACTTTTTGTAAAAGGATGTCGAATGAGATGACAGACATAACTAGAAAGCAAATAGTAAACTGCTCAAGTGCTTCGAAGAGAGACGTCACTTGCTTCTTTTCATTTCGTTCCTTAGGGCACGCAGCAGAAAGGCTCCAAGTGCGCTTCTGCTGCGGCCCGCTCTTACCCTGCTCTTACCCTGGGCTGGTCACCTGTCCTCCCGCTTTTGCTTCCATCTGAGCAGAATGTGGTCCCAGAGCCACCCCAGGTGAGCCATCCTGCTGCTAACTTGCCCATAGCGATGGACATTGTAAAGTGTGCTTGTTGCGGGCGGAGGAGCTTGTCCTAGTAGCGCAGGTTCACTTTGAGCGAGGGTTCGTTTATTCTTCTGGTCCAAGAGCAGGGAAAATAAGGCCTGAAGCCCCTGCAGTATAATTTCCAAATCCTAAGAACAAGTTGTGTGTCCTGGATGAGAAGCCAGTCCCAAAGGGTTTCCAAGGGAGCTCAGGCTCCAGGGATGGAGGAAGTCAAGGTCAGAGGCTCTGATAAACAGGAGTCTGTGGGTTTCCTCTCCAAACACCTGCTGAAATTAAGAGCACTTATTGGTAAGTGAGTGGCAGGCGCGAAGGAAAAGATGTTGGGGAAGGCATCCTGAACGTATGGGAATGCATTCTGTTGGCCAGGCGGGGAAGTTGGACGAGGAAGAAGGAGAGGCAGAGAAAGCAGGCGGTAAGAGATGAAGCTGCAGAAGCCTAATAAGGCCCGGTGAGCGCAGACCCTGAACATCTATCCTGAATGGGGAGTAACCGTCTCATGCCTGCATCGTACTTCACAGGTTGTAAAGTGCTCCCACATAAATGACAGCATTTAATCTGTAGACAGTACAGCTTTACGAATGACTGGATATGGAGTCGGTGATGTATCAGAGAGGACTCGAAGTTTAAGAACATGGGTAATAGGCTCAGTGATGGTGCCAACTGATTGTCATGAGGCATTTGGTAAGGGGAGGCGATTTTAGGGGTAAAGAGATAAGGTCAGCTTTTAAAGTCTTAGAATGATTGAAGAGAAGGGTGTTGGTAATATTTAGGAAGCCACCATAGGAAACTGCAGATAGCATGTTAAGAGAGTGAGAAATCTGAGCTGGGAGGTAATGAGAGTCAGCAATGTGGGCGCGATGAAAGAGGGGACACTTTACATGGGAGTGAGTACAATGAGACAAGGAAAGGGGTCAAGGGCCAAGCCATAGGGGTACTCGGTTATGGTCTGGGAAGAATGGCCTTGTCAGGGGCGGGGTTAGGAAAAGAAACAGCATATACAGCCATAGAGCCATGGTATTTGAGAATATAAATAAGGAAGGGTTGGGTCTTGACAGTGTGAAATTTACAAGAAATGTCAAAAGAGGACAAAACAAAGGAAAGCCTTTTGCGTTTGGCTCTAACATTATTGGTGATTGGGGAGGGCGTCTGTGGGATGTCAGCAGATTGTGAGGCTGATGACTGAGCAGAGACAGAATGTTTGCTGTGGTGTGACTGTGGAAGAAGGGTCATCATTTCTTGCCGACGCTAGTGAGCTTCTGCTATCGACTGGCTAATCCCCAACTCACAACCCAACCCTACTCCTGAACCCTTCACAGGTGCTTCCATCTGTAGTGGTTTTAAAGCATAATTCCAAGTCTCTCCCATCAAAAGGTGAGGGTCCATGTTCCTCCCCCTCACATCTGGGCCGGCTTGTAAACGCTTTGACCAATAGGATAAGACGGAGCTGATGCTATGTAGTTTCCGAGGCTGGATCATAAAACATCCTTTGAGCTTTTGTTTTATTTACGAGAACATGTGGAGCCTGGGCCCACGTTGTGAGAGATTAAACTTTTCCAAGGCTGTCATGCTGGACAGGCCCCAGGTAGGTGCCCCCAGCCCTCCCCACTGGGGCGCCAGACGCGAGAGCACGGCTGTCCTGGGCTCTTCATACAAACCCACCTGCCAGCCGACCACTACCAAGCAGTCTCTGTCAGTATCAGTAAGACAGAAGAATTATCCGGCTGAGGCCTGCCCGAATTCCTGACCCAGAAAATTAAGAGCTATAATGAAATGGCTGTCGTTTTATGCTGAAACACCACCTATACTTCCTTGAGAGGCTGGGAGTAGCAGACACTCTCTTTGCCCTGGCCTCGAACGCCACCTTCATGACGGGGAGTTGGACGCAGGGTGTGGGTATAGAATTTTGGGATTTGCAGAATTTTTGAAATCACAGTACGTTTTTCAAGGAGAAGCAGGATAAACTAAAAGTTTTGTTTCCATAGGCGCATGCTGGCATGTTCTTAAAAGGCAGAGTATGACAAGTTAGAGGCGAGGGTAAAATGAAAGCTATTAGAAGGAGAGGGGTATTGAGGGGGAAAAAATCTGTTAGAAATAGGAAATGCCGTAGTCCAAAACCCTTAAGGATGGGTAAGGAGAGGGGCCCTGTGGCAGGATAGAGAAGCGTTTTTATTTGAGACAGGGAGGAAGAATGACAGCAAAAGCCTCTAGGATAGTCATACCTGGGTTACTAACACATGTGGGCAGTTAGAGACTCCTCTAGGAGATAGAGCCGTTCGGTGGAGACTGAGCACCTGAGATACCTCGGCACAACGCCAGTTCTAGGGGTCCAAGGAGCAGCAGAGGTCAAAGCTTCATGCGGGTTCACAGGAGTTCAAGAATCCGGAAATGGTTCCGGTTGCAAGCAGCAGGCTGGCTCACCCCTTGGGAGAGGCTCTGAGAAGCAGGAGAAAGTTTCCTCAGGTTGGAGAGAACAGTAGGGGAGAGGGTGGCATCTCCAGAGGGGCAGACTTCTGCTATTCTGGCACACAGACGTGGGGAGGTAAAGAAGAGGTCAGTGTGAGCAAGGGGAACGGACCTCTGAGATGTAGCTAAGGGGCGGCAGCAAGTTCCTGCTGTGCTAAATTCCTGTGTTTTTCTTTTAACATTTAGAGCGACGCTTGCAACTGCACTTGCTCCAAGTGTGATCAGTCAGGACTCACGGAACAAAACGTCTTCATAGGAAAGAAAAAAGATGGCAAAGCTGTGCATTGGAATAATGTTCTGTACTTTCCCATAAGTCTCTCATTAACCACCAGTAGGAAATATCATGTTGTAGTTTTATAGAAAAGTGTGCAAACAATTTATAAAAGAAGAAATGCAGGCTTTAAAATTGGGGGGAGGGGAGTGTATTTCATATCACTAATGAAGAAATGTACCTCTTTCACCTTATAAATTAATATCTGGTCCCTACCAAAATTATAATTATTAGAACATTTTATATACATTTTAAATTTAATACTATACGTATAAATAATGAATGTTATAAGTCGTGAACATTAAAATGGAATGATAATAGGGAGAGACGAGGGGAGAGGCAGAGAAGCCTCTGTTTGGGTCCAGCCCAGCCCAAACAGAGAAACTATCAGGCTCTGCGTTAAGGAGAAACTATTCTATTCTGATGTAGGGTTACAGCATAGTGATTAGATGCTTACTGGCTGGGTAAGCAGGGACAAATCACTCAGCTTCGCTGAACCTCACATTCTTCGCTCTTACAATGAATGTTCCTGCATCATTAGATTATTCTTATTAATAAATCAGTCTTTGTGCTCAGCGCCGATGTATATAAGCCTCGTAACCCCGTGAAAGATGTGTTCACGTCACACACTTCATCTTCCATAGTATTCAGTAAGTGCTAGACTCTGTCCTGAGTGCTTTACACAGTTTAACACATTTTGTCCTCATTGCATTCCCCTGAGGTTTGTACTATTGTTATTCTACTTTGTGGAGGAAATTCAGAGGCTTGGAGGAGTTAAGTAACTTCTGAGAATGGCACTGTTAGGATCTGTCTGACCCCAAACCCTCTATCACTGTAGGATACCCAACTTACCTTTCCTATATACTTATGACATGATACTTCCCTATGCTTTGAAGGCATATAATGGCTAAGTATACTCACATATTTTTTTGTGAGTCATATCAAAGGTTACCAAAAAAAAAATCACATGCACTATATATCCTTTACTTGATTTGTGTATCTTACGAGAGACTTACAAAGAAAAGAATCAACGTTACATGACTTTTACTTTAAAAATCACTTTATCTCATTTCGTCCTCAGTAGCACCTGGCAGAAGAGGTGTGTGGGTGGGGGGAGAGGGGGTGGTAATATGTGAGGTTTAGAAAAGCTTGGTTTGTAGGGATTACAGCGCAGGGGAGGGAGCAGCGAGTGAGGAG